CCGGTATACATTCTCAGGGTATTTCATTGTTACCATATCATTAGGCTGGGCTTTCGGCATTCTTTCATGATAGCCATCATACATCCAGCGTAGACCAGAATTAGCTCTCACATTTCCAAAATAATCTGGTGGAGTTGAAGCTACCGTATATGTTTGATTGCTTTGAGTAGCTATTAATTGCGCATTTATGCTTTTACAATGACTTTCCAGTGATGAATTTGATACAATGTCTTCACTTTCAAGAATCTCATACCCATTTAATATGTGGAAATCAATTGATAAGTTTTTATTGTATTTTCTGATGATTGAATTTGGATCATTCATCAATTCAAGAATTTTCATTATATGATCAAGCTTATTGACAACTGTTGGGTCTTGATATGATGTTTTTTTCCAAGATGGATATCTATAGGAACCAGTTTCCAGAAATTCATATTCATACTTTTTTGCCTCTCTGAGCCTCAAATAATAACGATATGGATCAAACCCATGCATATCATTCAATTGAAGTCCATTTTCTAGATCGTTATACCAGTATCGAGATCCATCATTTCCAACTGTTATTGCACATATATCATTGATGATCATTTTCTGGTTATTTGTTAAAGTTATAATACAATGTACATTTGAATAAAACAGTGGTGCTAATTGAGAGAAATAAACTTGGTTCAACCTTATCATTGATCCTATATTAACAGCTCCAGAACTAACAATTTCAAGAAGTATCTCCATTGGAATATATTGGAATAAATTATCATTAGCTTTAGGCCTTGAGTGAGTTTCAGTTGCAACCGCTGACACACTGACGGACGTTTGATCTGGAAGTTCCATAAACATATGTGGCTCTTCTTGCAATTGAAATGTTGATGAGCTGTCGAGTTTCTTTTCTATATGATACTTATATGAGCATTTTAACATCCTGCATATTGGTTTTATGGTAGTCCAAATAAACTTATTCCTGAAACGACGGGGACGAGCTTGATACTCTGCTTTTTGAAGTGTAAGTGTATTTTTGAAAGGCCCTGCTTCCATCTTTTTCTTATCAAACAAGAGTTTATTAGTGAATCTTTCACTTATGTCTGGATCTTGATCTACGTCCATGATGTTGCCTGCTCACCTCAGTTTATGCTTGAAAATATAGCGTTTAGAACTACAGAGTAGTTGGTATCTTCAGCAAGTAGTTATAGTTATAAAATATATCAAAATCTTATATATCATTTTGATAGATAAATTGTTTTCTGTTCGGAGCTCTAGATATGGATCACAAAATTGAGTTAATTATACTAGCTCTAATAAACTGAGAATTATTTTTCTGAATCATCATCACAGTTCCATTTAGGATATCTTGATCTATTTCTGAAGATTCTTCTAAAAACTTTGTTTAGGCCATTGGTTCTATGTGGAAGATATGGCTCTTCAGGAATTTGATAAACGCGAGTAATTGCTGGTTGGATGACTCTATAACGAACTTCTTCCCTGAAGTTGTAACTATCATGCTCTGCAAACAATCTATTACCATCTTTTTTATCCAATTGGTAGAACAACTCTAATTCCACCTTATAAACTAAGGCTTTATACTCTCTTGATTTACCTGATTTGTGTCTTTGTTTTTGTCTATGTATCTTTGAGATATCGATTTCTTTACCAGCAACAACTTTTTTGACAAGTCTTTCTTATGAATAAGGATTGTTAGCTTCTAAGACAGCTGATTCAAAAGCATAAGTTATTATATTTGGTTTCTTGATCTTACCAGCCTCTCTATCAATATATTTCCGTTTTTCTTCAGTTAAAGTAGAAAGCTTATTTGAGTGCATCTTGATTGATGTTTAACAATCTATTCAACCCACCCGTGTGAAAACAGAACCTTTTTGAAACAATAAGAGCTGTGATAACCCTTATAAAACAAGTTTATTAATGTAGCGGCTAATTAGTTGTTGGTTCAAGATACATTTTTGAAGGGTATTTTGCTGTTTATATATTTTGAAGTTAGCCGCCGAAAAACACAAATGAATAATATCGACAGTATTAATATGATATTATATAACGACTTAACGTTAGTTATCACGATTATAACGTACGATGAAATGAGTTGTTTATTGTTTATGATAATATATAATATAAATTTAATAAATAAATAGTAGTTGATAACTAATAAATTTAATAAATACACATTGATCATGAATAAATAGATATATATAAATAAATAAATAGTTTCAATAAATAAGTAGCCCATGGATCAACCATGTTCTTGAATAAATAAATATAGAATAAATAGTTAGTTAGTTAAGAATTGTTCAATCTGTGAACAAAATTTTTTCAATTGTTTCTTTCTTGACACCATAAGAATCACAAAGACCAATACACCATTGCATTCTTTCAGTAACTTTCAATTCACCATTGATTCTTTGTTTTCTAACAACACGTTTCAATAAGAGTTCTGCCATTTGTTCATCGAATTTCTTATGCCCTCTCAAGATCCATAATCTTCTTTGAAGATCTTTACCATATCCATTTTTACTTTCATCTTGTAAAATCTTGATTGTTTCAAGTTTTAGAATTTCAATAGGATTTTCCCTCATAGCATCAAAATATATTGGATCTTTACCATCTTTGACCATATACTCATTAGTTAATATCTGTAACTGATCACTTGGGAAATATCTAAATAATTCTTGACATATATCAAATTTTTTGAGATATAGAAATGATCCAATAGTCTTGTTATATAATGCTAAAAATGCTTTGGTATCTTGTTCTTTTAAATCATTGAATATGTATAAACACTCTTCAGTTGAACATGACCCTGCAATATGTCTTGCTATTCTTGATAACCAATAACCTGACTCTACTTTACCAATTTTGAAAAGTGTAGGTATCAACATGGAAGAAATTGGAACACCTTTTTCAACAAATTTGATATATTCTGCGCATGAAATACCACTTAGCTTCAACATAATAGATTTTTGTGATTCGATTGGTAATTTGGTCATTAACTTAGCAAAATGTCTGAAACTTGAATCATGGATGTTATAATTAACACTTTCTAAAATCCATTTCATTTCATTAAATTGTCTTTCAGGTACTGATTCTTCTTTTGATTTACCAATGGTAGACGAACTTCTTGTTATTAAAGAAGATAATAACTCATTTTTGGCTTCTTTTGGTAATGATCTTGATAAACCTGATAATAGCTTTTTATTTTTAGTAGCAAAAACTGCTCTTGCCAAATTTTGGGTTTCGAACTGTTCAGCTTTAACCAAATTCTTTGTGATGAAATTCACAACAGCAGAACGGGAGTCCATATCAAGAAGTTTTTGTAGATAAGTATTTTTGACTTTAGATGCAGATTTTCCATCTTCCATATTTTCCATGATTTTATTGAAAACGTTAAAATTTGTAATTGTCTTTTTCAAAATTTGAGTATCAATTCTGGTCATAACATAGCCTTTATTTTCTGAAATAGCATTTAATAAATGTTGTTCAAAACTGGTTGGACTCTTATTATCTTTACTTTTTGGGAATTTATTACCAGCTTTCAAAAATCTATAAAGAACACCATCTTCACCCAAGAGTTTAAATTTGTTCAATGTATCCATACCTTCACTCAATCTATTATTCTCGATAGACTTCAAAGCCAGTTTCAAGTTAATGTATTCATATTTTGTCTCCCAAATTTGACTTGGAATCTCTTCAATACTTTGGTAATTATCAATAATTTGATCTAGTTTCATTATGTTCAACAAATCTTCATACTCAATTTCCAAGTTGTTGAAACCAAAAACACGACCTTTCTCAGTTAATACATTATAGTGAAACTTGAATAGTTTAGGATTTCCAGAATCTGTAACAATTTTATAGATTGATTTCATTGTATCAAAAAACCCAAACTTTAAATCGTGATCTTTATTCAATTGATTATTGATCTTAAGACTCAACACACTTATATCATTGTGATAGTTCTTTGATACGGCTTGAACAACAATTTTGGCCACCTGATCAAAATCTTTATGTTTAACGTAAAATCTAACTAATTGTAATACCAAATCTTCACTTAATGAAGAGTATAGATCTTCTGCAGAGATGATATTCAAATCTTCAATTAAAACGTCATCAACATACTTTGGATTAATACTTAACAGGTCCTTATGTGAAAGTAATGCGTTTAACTTGATATGTGGGTCATTTGTGCTTCTCAAAGCTAATTGTAATCTTGGGGGTAAATTCTTATAAGGCAAACGAGCTGTGGGGGTATTTGGTGAAGCAGTAGGAGCTTCTAATGGATTTTCTGATTTGTTCAAATCATTGATTAGTTTTTGGAACATATTACGTATTGGCTCTTTAGGATCTATTGATTTGTTTCTGATATCTTCTTCCTTCTTTTTGTGAATATTGGCGAACATGTGTGGTGCAGAATCTGGGGTTGAAGAAGGGATATGTTCAGCATAATAGATTCTTCTTTTGGACGATATGTTACCAAACCTCTTTGCGCTGATTTTTACTAGATCCTTAGGTGCTTGCATTTTGTTGAATTTCTTCTGGTGGTTCAATTGTATCCAGTCCAGCTGGTCTTTATCCTGAACCAAACAATACAAGATCAAGTTTATATTCCAACTTCAAATGTGCCTTTAAACTTCACCACCAGAAACTGACACCACCACAAAAAATTCGCGAACAATAAAGACAATAGTGTTACGTAATTCATGACATAAATTGTATCTTTGGAGAACAATCCTAATCGGTAACTAATCGCCGATAAAATTACATGGTGCCGATTATTGTTTTTTTTTTTTTCGTAAGGCTAAATAGAAATGAGTTTCCTTTTGATCTTTAGTCATACTTCACTATAGAAGGGATTTCAAGCACAAGTTATGTGAAACAATTCATATCGAATGTATGGAACATAACGAAGCATATAGAGACTAAGTTACAACCATGAGTGAATCAATGTTCTCGTACCAGCCTGATGAAGCTGATGTTCAATCAATTTCTAGGCATCATAGTCAGAATATGTCAATAGATGATGAAAAGAAATATGAAGTCGTTTTTGACGGTCAAGATGATCAAGAGAATATCAATGAAGCAATGTCAATAGGTAGAAAATGGTTTATTAGCTTGGTTCTTTCAGGTACTTCAATTTGTGTAACTATGCTTTCATCATGTTGGTCTATGGCATCAGAAAATATAATTAATCATTTTGGTATTAGTCGTGAAGTTAGTATTTTGGGTATTAGTTTATATATCTTTGGGTTAGGTTTTGGTCCTTTGTTCTTGAGTCCAATATCGGAATTTTATGGTAGAAAGCTTACATATATCTTTGGACTTTCATTATGTTGTGTTTTTGAAATATTAACTGCATTCTCTCCAAATATTGGCGGATTATTGTTTGGAAGATTTTGTAGTGGGTTTTTTGGTTCTGCATTCTTATCAGTTGCTGGTGGTACTTTTACAGATCAATTTAAGAAAGATGAAATTGGTGTACCGTTAGCAGTTTATTCAATATCTCCATTTTTAGGGCCTTCACTGGGTCCTTTAATTAGTGCATTCATTAATGAAAATTTATACTGGAGATGGACTTTTTACATAATGTTGATATTTAGTGCAGCTATGCTTTTATTAATCATAGCTTTTGTTCCTGAAACATATGTTCCAGTTTTATTAATGAGAAAAGCCAAAAGAAAAAGAGCAGAAACTGGCGATGATAGATATTATGCTCCATTAGAGATTATGCAAAAGGAACAATCTGTTTTCACAGCGGCTTTATTTTCTGCAAAGAGACCATTCATGTTGTTGATGAAAGATAGAATGATGGGAGTTTTATGTTTTTACTCAGGTCTTATTTTAGCTATTGTCTATTTATTTTTCGTTGCATTTCCATATATCTTTGATAAAGTTTTTAATTTCTCTAAAATTGGCCAAGGGTTATCATTTTTAGGTATGTTAGTTGGTATGATTATCGGTGGTGCAACTGCACCAAAGTTTCAATCAATTTATAATTCAAGAGTTTCCAAAACTGGTAAACCAAGAGCTGAATTTAGATTATACCCTTTAATGGTTGGATGTTTCCTTTCACCTATTGGACTTTTCATATTTGCATGGACTTGTTTTTCCAAATTACATTGGATGGGTGCAATGGTGGGAACTGCAATTTATGGTATGGGTACAAGTTTGATTTTCCAAGGTATTTTCGGGTATACAGCTGATGGTTATAGATTATTTTCAGCAAGTGCTATGGCTTGTAATAGTTTAGTAAGAAGTATAATGGCTGGTGTATTCCCATTATTTGGATTACAAATGTATGAAGCTTGTGGTGTTAATTGGGGTGGATCAATTTTGGCATTTGCTACATTAGCTATGATTCCTTTCCCCTTTCTATTCTACAAGTATGGTGAGACATTAAGAAATAAAAGTCCATATGCTTGGAGTATGGACTAATTTTCATATCCTGTTCAAAAGCATATGATCTTCTCTATCATGATTTCAATTACACATTTTTATGAGACCCATAGAGTATTTAATTTATCAAGCATCTAATAGCAGCATCTAATACAAGTTAGTTTCTAATCATTTGAAAGGGTTGTACATATTCAAAGGTCGTTCATGTATACATGAAGTGTAATATTTGTGTATCGAATCTATATCGATACCTGGATACAAGAGGATTGTATAGAACATATTGGAATGGCCAGGTGCACAACTAATCAACAAGATACGGTAAGCACTATGGCTTCCACGCTTCATTCCACCGACAGTTTAACCTTTTTGGGCTCATTAAATAAAGTTAACCGAAGTCAGTACGGTGTACACTGTATTGCTTATATGGTGGAGAATTACGTGTCGGAAATGTGTCACTGTGAGAAAGTATACGGAAGAAGACAAGCGGTCCAGCGCGGCTGACCATATAAAGTCTATACTTGAAAACATTTGAATCCGATTTAAATAATGGTGCTTTCGGAAAAGAACTATAAACCCAATAATTCTTATTATATATGACTTCATGAATATAGCAGGTACTTATAAATACAAGAAGAATTATCCTGAGTATGATCATGATCATGATATAGATCTGGTTAATAATATCAATATCTATAGCATCAATGTCAACACAGATCCAACCCAGCGGGTACGAGGCTGACACATTCAATGAACCAGATTTAGAAGCTCAATCATCAGACACTTTACATGGTCCACAAAATGAAGAGTGTGATCAGGAGACAGAATCAAGAGAATCAAATGCAGTTGATGAAAAGAAAGATATAGATCCAAATGAAGTTATGTTTGAAGTAAATGATCCAGATAATACAAACTCAAATATGTCTTTGGTGAAAAAATGGTCAGTAGTTGCGGTTCTATGCTTTGCAACAGCTATAATAACAATGCTTTCTTCAGTTTGGTCTTATTCTGAACCTTCAATCTCACATAAATACCACGTTGGAAGGGTTGTTGGTACACTAGGAATAACACTCATCATGGTTGGTTTGGGGATTGGACCAATGCTTCTTAGTCCTTTGTCAGAGAGATATGGAAGGAAGCCAATGTATATATTGGGTCTAATCTTGAGTTGTGCTTTTCAATTTCTAACTGCATTTGCTGATAATCTTGGTGGTATATTGTTCGGTAGATTTATGTCAGGTTTCTTTGGAAGTGTGTTTGTTAGTGTGGTCAATGGAACATTCACAGATATTTTTAACAAGTCTGAAATTGCACCAGCTATAGCTATTTTTGGAGTTTCGCCTTTTGTTGGTCCTTCAATTGGTCCATTGTTTTCAGCTGGTATAAATAAATACTTGAATTGGAGATGGCCATTTTATATCATGTTGATGTTACACGGTGTTTCGTTAATATTGGTAATATTATTCGTTCCTGAAACATATGAGCCTGTTTTATTACTCAAAAAGGCAAGGAAATTAAGAAAAGAAACTGGTAATGATAGTTTAAGATGTGCATTAGAAAAGGAGGATCATGGATCACTATGGATGACAATACTCAAAGCACCGAAAAGACCATTTTTATTACTCTTAAGAGATCCAATGATTTTAATCTTATGTATATATACTGGTTTAGTTTTGGCAATTATTTACTTGTTCTTTGTGGCTTTCCCATATATCTTCAAAACTGTTTTCAAATTTGATAATATATCACAAGGTTTATCATTCTTAGGATTACTTATTGGGTTATCTATAGGTGCATGTGCTGCTCCTAGTTTTCAAAACCATTATAATAGAATCGAAGCAAAAGGTAAAGCGGAACCTGAAGATAGATTATACGCTCTTATCTTAGCAAGCTTTTTACTTCCAATTGGTATGTTTATAATAGCATGGACATCTTTTTCTTATTTACATTGGATTGGTCCTATAATTGGTAGCACAGTATATGGAGTGGGATGTTCATTAGCGTTTACGGGTGTTATTGGCTATATTGCTGACGCTTATAAGTTGTACTCAGCTAGTGCTATGGCATGTAATAGTCTTGTTAGAAGCTTTATGGCTGGTGGGTTTCCCCTATTTGCCTTACAGATGTATGAAAAATTGGGAGTCAATTGGGCTAGTTCATTGTTAGCATTTTTACTTGTGGTTATGATACCATTCCCGCTCTTATTCTTCAAGTATGGTAAGAGTATTAGAGCAAAGAGTCCGTATGCTTGGAATGTAGAATAGATTTATTATATTAATGTTTCAATTGGAATCGTTTTTGAACTTTGTAGATATAAATTAACCGTGTTTTGATTACGCGTTTCCATAACAATATAATCAGCGCGAAAAGTTGAAAAAGTAAACAAACAATTGACTTTAGCGCGCTTAAGAAATTTAAAGTATCCACAACATCAACAGAAAGATAAAAGCCATAATTAATAAATAAGGATCCCTTTATTTGCTGCTTTACAAAAATTTCAGAAGGTCGAAAACGCTCAGGGACTCTTTCCACAGGATCACAAAATGTTAGGATCTAGAAGTCAACCAGGGAAAAAGCTGTCAAAGAAGGAGAATCCTTTTGGTAAGCCTTCAAAAGGTCAACAACCTAGTGTGAGCATGTTTTTCATGAAGAAATCAAATTCAACATTAGGCACTGAAAAAGAACCTTTAGGCAAAACATCACCATCATTGCTAAACAGAAGTGAATCAACTCCTCCTGCTTTTTTCAAATCTAAAAGTTCATTATCCCAAATGAGTAGCGGTTCTTTTGATCAAGATATTGATGATGGAGATCTGAAACCAAAATCAACTGCTGTTAATTTCAAGAGATCTAAACCAATCGGTACCCTAGGACCCCAACCTGATAATGATGATGATGACGATGATGTTGTAGAGATCGTTGATGTTAAAAGAACTTTACCATCTTATAAACCACCTCAACCAAAACCAAAATCAAATACAACAACCTCAACAACAACAACTAGCTCTAAGTTAATAACGCCACCAACTTCAACAGATGGAGCCAAGTCTACAAATGCTACAGTATCATCAAATTCAAGAACATCATCAAGAACACCGGCTAAATCAGCACCTAAAACATCATTGAGTACATCACCTGGTTCTTCAAAATCAAGTCAAACTACATTAAACTTTGGCGGTAAACAACTACAACCTAAAAGAAGAATGAATCCATGGGATTCTGCTGTTATAATTACTAAAAAGATGAAGAATCCAAGAACTGCTAAGGAGGAAGCATTGAAACAACAAAAATCATCTTCAAATAGTTATTCATATTCAAATCCAAAATTTTCACCAAGTCCCGAACAACAAAAAGTTTTAGATCTTGTTGTTGATGAGAAAAAAAGTATATTCTATACAGGTTCTGCTGGTACTGGTAAATCTGTATTATTAAAAGAACTTGTTGCTAGATTGATTAGAAGATATGGTCCAAATGCAGTTGCTGTTACAGCTTCAACAGGGTTAGCTGCAGTTAATATTGGAGGTGTTACTATAAATAAATTTTCCGGGATGGGTATTGGTGCAGGTGATCAAAGAACAGTTGCAGCAAGAGTGAGTAAAAATTCACAAAGTGTTGAAAGATGGAAACGTACCAAAGTTTTAATTATTGATGAAATTTCTATGATTGATGGTTCATTTTTGGACAAATTAGAATACACTGCAAGATATGTTACGAAAAAACCTCAGCCATTTGGTGGTATTCAAGTTGTTTTAACTGGTGATTTCTTCCAATTACCACCAGTTCCAGATCGTAATGGACCACCACCAAGATTTTGTTTCCAAGCTGAATGTTGGTCAAAATGTATTAATCAAACTATATTATTAGTTCAAGTTTTCAGACAAAAAGAAAATGAATTTGTTGAATTATTGAATTGTTTAAGACTTGGTGAAGTTAGTGATAAAATGTCTACATTATTTAAATCTTTATCAAGGGAAATTACATATGAAGATGGTATTCAACCAACTGAATTATTTTGTACAAGGTACGAAGTTGATCAAGCAAATACTAAAAGATTACAAAAATTACCTGGTAAATATCAAGAATTTGAAGCCATTGATAGTGGTAATGAATTTCAAAGAAAAGCATTGGATAATTTAATGGCTGTTAAAAAATTAGTTTTGAAGGAAGATGCACAAGTTATGATGATTAAAAATAAAGATGATACACTTGTTAATGGTTCAGTTGGTATAGTTGTTACATTTTTCACTGCGATGTTATATGGACAATTTAGATCTTTTTATAAAGATTATGAATTAGTTGATGATTCTACAATGAAACAAGCCAAATATATTTCAAGTTGTATTGCAGCAGATACAATACCTGAAGATGTTTTACAATTTGCTTCAAGATTACCAAATAGATCTCAATTTATGCAATTATGTACATCAGCCCAAACACAATCAAGAGCAATGTTATTACCTTTGGTTAAATTTTCCACAGTTAATGGGTCTCGATTAGAGTTAGTTGATAGAGAGGACTTTAGTTTAGATAATGACGGAGAAACTGGTGCATCAAGAAGTCAATTACCATTACTGCTTTCATGGGCTTTATCTATTCACAAATCACAAGGTCAAACATTAGACAGGGTTAAAGTTGATTTAACAAAAGTTTTCGAAATGGGACAAGTTTACGTTGCACTTTCAAGAGCTGTTTCTAAAGATCGTTTACAATTAATTAATTTTGATAAATCAAAGATTAGATCAAGTGGTATTGTTAAACAATTTTATGAACAACTTAGATCTTTTTGAAGTGAAGCATCATCATTCCAATTATTTATTCAATTCTTCGATTATAGAACATTTTGTATATTAGAATATAATCAATCAAATTAATCATGGATAAAAAAGCCAGCAGGTGGAATATGTTTCCACGCGAAACTCTGCACCGTTGTACATAGTCCATTCCATTACTGGTAACTCCATCCTATTAATATGGAAAATTAGGGTCAATTTCACCGCTGGAACACCGTTGAAAAAAGTTTCTCTGACTTTAAACACCGCTGGAAAAGATCCCATGGGATGCAGGATCAGTAAACGTTTACCCTAAGCTTAAATAATCCGTTATAAGTCCAGTGATCTCACGCGGAATCTGGTCGTGTATTGAGGTTTTGCAACTTTCAAGGTTTATCGCGATTTGGAATTATGAAAAATACTTTGTTTGTCAAATTTATAAAATCTCGTTCGTTGAGATTGTAACCATATGCTATAAATAACCCAGTTTCCAATTCAAACCACAACAAATTGGAATTCACATCATTTTCTTGTTCAATTGAACCACTGGAAATAGTTCAGATATACAAGTAACCAAGAAAAAGGGCTCAATATAATAAAAAGAATTGGAATTGGATTGATATATAACACACAACATGACTGAACCTGAACGTCATTCATTCAATGTTTTCCATCAAGATTTCACAATTGATAAAAGATTCGAAGTCATCAAAGAACTGGGACATGGTGCTTATGGTATAGTTTGCTCAGCTCGTTATTCAGAGACTCCAGATGTCACAGTAGCCATTAAAAAGGTTACAAATATCTTTAGTAAAAAAATTCTATGTAAACGTGCACTTAGAGAATTGAAACTATTAAGACATTTCAGAGGTCATAAAAATATAACATGTTTATATGATTTAGATATTGTCAATAAAAATAAATTTAATGAAGTTTATTTATATGAAGAATTAATGGAATGTGATATGCATCAAATTATAAGATCTGGTCAACCTTTAACAGATGCTCATTATCAAAGTTTTATATATCAAATCTTGTGTGGATTAAAATATATTCATAGTGCTGATGTCTTACATAGAGATTTAAAACCTGGTAATCTATTAGTTAATGCTGATTGTGAATTGAAAATTTGTGATTTTGGTTTAGCTAGAGGTTATTCATCAATTCCTGAAAAAAATGCAGGTTTCTTAACTGAATATGTTGCAACAAGATGGTATAGAGCTCCTGAAATTATGTTATCATTCCAAAGTTATACAAAAGCTATCGATATTTGGTCAGTTGGTTGTATATTAGCAGAATTGCTTGGTAGTAAACCAATTTTCAAAGGTAAAGATTATGTTGATCAATTGAATCAAATTTTATATATTGTTGGTACACCACCTGAAGAAACTTTAACAAGAATTGGTTCACAAAGAGCTCAAGATTATGTTAGATCTTTACCATTTATGCCAAAAATTCCATTCAATAAATTATATCCAAATGCAAATCCTGAAGCATTAGATTTATTAGATAGAATGTTATGTTTAGATCCTGCAAAGAGAATTACAGTTGAAGAGGCCTTAACACATCCATACCTAAAAGTTTGGCATGATCCTGCTGATGAACCAATTTGTTCATCAAAATTTGATTTCGCTTTTGAAGAAGTTGATGATTTAGAAGCTATGAGACAAATGATTTTAGATGAAGTTGAAAGTTTTAGAGAATTTGTTAGAAGACCAATTGAAGATCAACAATTAGAATTGTCAAATCCACAAATTAGTGAAGAACAAGCTCAACAACAACATCAACAACAGCAACAGCAACAAGCTCAGCAACAATATGAACAACAGTTACTTCAACAACAAGCTCAAGCTCAAGCTCAAGCTCAACATCAAGCGCAACAACAATCACAACAACAATATCAACAAGTACCACCACAAGATACTTTCCAATTTGAAGCTCCACAAGATTATCAATACAATCAACAACCTCAACAACATATTCCACAACAACCTCAAGATCAATCTCAACAAATATTCAATCAACCAGGATTATTTAGTCCATCATTTGAAAGTCCAGTTGGACCAATTGGTATACCACAAGACCAATTTAGAAATGATTTACCACCAAGACCACAAGAAAATGTTTATTCAACAGATTTTGGTGGATTAGAACAAGAATTAGAATTTGGTCTTGATGCTTTTAAAAAAATTTAGATATATAAATTTTAAAAAAAAAGTTTTATAGAGTAAATGTTTTTGTTTTGTTTGTTTATATGATTCTATTTAAAATTTTATACATGGGTTTTATATTATAATTTTCTGTTTGGTTTATATATAATTTGGTTTATATTTGGTTTGAAGTTTTTAATATATATAAGTACTTTGATTTTATACGTTGGCTTTTTTCATGTTTGTTAAATACGTCGACTCTACAATTGAACTATTGAATATCCATAAACAAACGTATAATATAATATCTTTAATAACACAAATATATAATTGAAAGGCATAAAAAACTAAAAAATCAATAACCAAAATCAAAAAGAACATCTCAAAATAACATTGATCTTCTAAAAACATGAAAACCTCGTATTCTTGAAAACTCTCTAATATACAAAATATAAAACAAAAAATCAAGTCATAAAAAACCAATCAAAGAAACCACCATTTCTGATCTTTTCATTTTGGATCATTATATAGTACAATGGTTTAATAAGTTGATGAGGGGGGTACCAACATCTTATAAACCTTGTTGTTTAACTAAACTAATATCAATATTACTTAAATTATCATCTTTTGGTTGTTGAGCTAAAGCTTGACCCACATTTTGAGCATTAATAGCAGCAGCAGCTTGTTGATGTAAATTATATTGATATTGATTATTTTGTTGATTTGGATTAGGTTGAGTTTGTTGTTGTAAATTTGGTAAATATTGATTTGTTAAACCTAATGGTAAACCTTGACCTTGTAATAAACTTGGAATATTTTGTTCGAATGAATTAGCTTCATCTTTTAATTGTTGAGCAGTTTGTTGTTGAACTTGTTGTGATTGATCTTGAACGATTTGATTTTGTAATTGTTGAGCTTGTTGTTGAACTTGTTGTTGATGTTGTTGAATTTGAGGTTGTTGAAGTGGTAAACCTTGAGAATTTTTCAATCTTTCTTCTCTCTTCATTTTTCTTGTTTCATTATAAATATCTTCTCTATTAATTAAAATATCTTTAAAATGAGATTTTAATAATTTTTCAATAACTAAAGGTTTATTACCTTTCATATATAATTCTCTAATTTGACGATTAATTTCAGGATTTCTTCTTCTTAACATTGGGAAACTTTCATTTAAATTCATTTTATCATGATTATGATCAGCATTTGTAATTCTCAAGACCCATTTAACAACTTCATCATTATCATTTTTTTTACAATTTGCCACCATTGTAAATGGACAATTAATTTTTCTTGTAGTTAATTTTCTCTTTCTTTCTTTATCATTAATATTTCTTTTATTTCTATAAGAACCACCTAATTCACAAGTAAAATAAATGGCTTTTTCATTTGAATGAGAAATAACAATACCAAAACCATTTTCTCTAGCATAAGAATGAATATATGAAATTAAATCATGTCTTGAACCAAATTCAGATTGAGGTTGAGTTGGTTGGAAACCTTGACCTTGAGTTGGAACAATTAAACCTTGATTATTTTGATTTTGATTTGAATTTGATGTAGCTTGTGGGAGATGTTGTGCCAACTGTTGTTGCGCAGACTGATATTGTTGTTGATGTTGAGCCTGTTGAGCCTGAGCTTGTTGCAATTGATTAGCAGCATTTAACAGTTGTTGATGTTGAGAAACAGCTTGCTGGGAAGCACGTTGAGCTTGTTGCTGAGCTTGGACTTGTTGATAGTATTGATTATGTTGCAATTGTTGAGCGTATTGCTGAGCAGCTTGTTGTTGTTGTTGTTGATGGTGTGGATTATTGGTTTGAGCAATACCTACTGCTTGAAGAGCATTGGCAGCTGCAGAAACAGCATTCTGGTGATTGTTTGGATCTAAACTCATGATGATTCTGGTTCTTCTGGGAGATTTTTCTAAGAAGCAATTGAATAATTCTAATTAAAACCCTTCAATATACCTGTTATTTCAACCTTTTTGTTGTTGTTGATGTTTTAAAGGGAATTAAAGTGGGAAGGTCATTGGATTGCGCACTTCAGGAAAGTTCCCAGAAATTGGCGGTGCACTCCTTTTTAAATTCAAAAATTCCAAAATTTTATGAAAAATTTTTAATTCACGCACGTCCTCGCACTCCTCAAAGGCCGGGTGACTGCTTGGGCGATTATGTAATCATAGTCACGTGAATATTGATTATGTAACAATGATGTAATTAAATTAAAATTCAGAAGAGCATCAATTCTAACCATTTCCATATTAGAGGTTTTTCCTCTTTTGTGAGTTTCCCAGATTTTCACCTTTTCTGGTATTTACCATTTCCAGTTTGGGATTACCCATTTAATTCCTAAAATTATACATAAATTAATTGCAGATTGTTTGATATCTTTGATAAGGAAACAGAAAGCCACATTGTTTTATATTTGACAAAAGTATAAATTCATTATTGTTATTAAACAACTCATCAATTACACTCATACAATTCCAATATATTCTCATTAGTCTGTTCACAGAGTTATTTACCTGAGAGTTATATTTAGCCACAAAGGGCTTATACTATAAATATGTCACATTTATTCAATAAAGATGCAAATAATCAAAAAGATGATGACCATATTGATGAAAAACAAAGAATACATTCTTACAAGATGAATAATCAAAGCTCTAATATAGATAGGTTATGGTCGAGTGATCTTTTTGATGCTCAAGATAGATTTCAATATATGAATAATCATCAAAGTTCAAATAAAAATTGGTTATGGTCAATTGGTTTAATTACTTTATTGATATGGGGTTCAAGTTTCTTAGTTTTAGGTATTGCAAGATTAAGAGAATCATCAGTTCAATTGAAACAATTGGAAATTCTGACACAGAGTTCAACATCATCAATTAAAAACATTCTGAGAGGTTATAAAGATGATCAAGAAGTATTAACTTTAGGTTCTGATAAAGTTTTAGGTTTTGATGAAATTAGAAATTCAAGTTTCAGTGCAAATTTTAAACCAATTCAATGGATCTCAGAACCAGACTCTTTAACAAATGATAAAGGTACTTTTGTAACTTTTGACAATGATTTATATTTAATTAAATCTGTTTATGATAAAGAATATGAAAATTTATTATATAATGGATCAAAGATAACTGTTAAAAATGAAGAGTATGAAATTGAAAGATTAGTTGCAAGTCCAAATTTAAAATATGCTTTAATTTCAACAAATCATTCTCAAAATTGGAGACATTCTTCATTTGCATTTTATTGGATCTTAAATGTTGAAACTCAAGAAATTTCCAAGTTACATGAGGATAAAATTTCAATTGCTAAATGGTCACCAATCTCAGATAAAGTTGCATTTGTCCTTGAAAATAATATTTATGTTTATGATTTATCAACCCAAAATACAAATCAATCAACCTTTGATGGTGATGCTCAAGTTTTCAATGGTAAACCTGATTGGGTTTATGAAGAAGAAGTTTTAGAAGGTGATTCTGCTTTATGGTGGTCACCAAATGGTGAATTCATTTCATTTTTAAGAGCTAATGATACTTTAGTTTCAGAATTTCAAATTCCATATTTTGTTCAAGGTGATGCAAAAGATGTTTATCCAGAAGTTAGAAGTTTAAAATATCCAAAACCTGGATATAATAATCCTGATGTTTCTGTGGGGGTGATTAATGTTAATAAACAAACGACTGAATTGATTGGTTATAAATATGGTATTTTCACTGAAATTTTATGGGTTGGTAACGATCAATTATTAATTAAGGCAACAAATAGAGAATCTGATTTTTTAAAAGTTGTCTTAGTTAATGCTCAAGATTTATCTTTTGAAATTGTTAGAGATGAAGTTACTGATAGTTGGTTTGAAATAACTCATGACACTTTGTTTATTCCAAAATCAACTGGCCCTGATGCAATTCGTGAAGATGATGGTTATTTAGATACTATCTCTGTTAATGGGTTTAATCATTTAGCTTATTTCTCACCACCAAATAATTCAACACCAAAAATTTTAACTCAAGGTGATTGGGAAGTTGTTAGTGCACCAAGTGCATTTAATTATGAAAAAAATTTGATTTATTATATTTCTACAAAAAAATCTTCAATTGAAAGACATTTATATTCATTAAATTTAATCACTGGTGAGACTGAACAATTGACTAAAGGTGAAGGTTGGTTTAGTGCTTCATTTTCATCAGGTGCAAGATTTGTTTCATTAAGTTATAGAGGTCCAAATATTCCATATCAAAAACTTGTTGATTTAGAAACTGGTGAAGATGAATTTTTAGAAGATAATGATAAATTATCTCGATTATTAGATACTTATGATTTACCAATTCGTACTTATGGTGAAGTTGATATTGGTACTGCTATTGTTAATTATGTTGAAAGATTACCACCACATTTTGATGAAAATAAAAAATATCCAGTGTTATTTTTCGTTTATGGTGGTCCAAATTCTCAACTGGTTACAAAAACATTTGGATTCCAATTCCCAGATGTTGTTGCATCACAATTAAATGCAATTGTTGTGACTGTTGATGGTCGTGGTACTGGATTTAAAGGTCGTCAATTTAGATCTATAGTCAGAGATAAATTAGGTCATCATGAAGTTATTGATCAAATCTTAGCTGCAAAGATATGGGCAAGGAAATCTTATGTTGATGAATCGAGATTTGCTATATTTGGTTGGAGTTATGGTGGTTATATGACTTTGAAAACTCTTGAGTTAGATGCTGGTAATACTTTCCAATATGGAATGTCTGTTGCACCAGTTACAGATTGGAGATTTTATGATTCTGTTTATACTGAAAGATATATGCATACACCTGAAAATAATTCAAAAGGTTATGAAAGATCATCAGTTTCTAATGTTACAAGATTAAGTGAAACTACAAGATTTTTATTATGTCATGGAACTGGTGATGATAATGTTCATTTCCAAAATTCATTAAAATTCTTGGATGATTTAAATTTAGCAAATGTTGAAAATTATGATGTTCATATTTTCCCTGATTCTGATCATGCAATTCGTTATCATAATGCAAATGTTATCATTTATGATAAATTACTTTTATGGTTGAAGAAGGCATTTAGAGGAGACTATATAAATTATGACTAAAAAACAGATAAAACATAGCATATAGCATATAATAATACCAAAATAATAAAGTAATAACGAACATAAATGAAGTTGAAAAGAAAGAAAATTGTAGTTTAAAGATCAAAATTTGGTTGAGAGGTTATTAGTAAGTCGGATTTTGCTCTAAATTCCCGGATCTCGAAATCTTGATCCCAGTCGCGAACTTTTCAAGATTTGGAAATCAAATTGACAAAAACATATGGACAATTTTGCCTTCAAGATTTAGATTTTAAACCATCAATTGAGTCTTTTAATTCCCAAATAATCTTATAATTATACATTGTTATATACTGCTGATATAGACTATCAACTGCCTTGTTACTTGTATTTGGATTGGGAGCTTTAGAGGAAAGAAAATGGCACAAAAAGACAATTCTGGTGATATTGCCACCAAGGAAGAATCAACAAAACAACAACAAAAGGAAATTGTTGATAAATCAAATAAAAAAGATAATAAAAAGGATAAAAAAGATGAAGAAGAATTAACTGAAGAAGATGAAAAATTAAAAAATGATTTGGATTTATTAGTTGAAAGATTAATTGAATCAAATGAAAAACTTTATGATCATTTATTAGAACAATTGAAAGAATTTATTAGTTCTTCAACTTCATCAATGACTGCTGTTCCAAAACCTTTGAAATTTTTACATCCTCATTATGAATCATTAACACAAGCATATGAAAAATGGACTGATTCAAAATTAAAATCTAAATTTGCTGATATATTATCTGTTTTAAGTATGACACATTCTGAAGATACTAAACAAGCTGCTTTAAAATTCAGAATATTATCAAAAGAAGATGATTATGAGAAATGGGGTCATGAATATATTCGTCATTTAGCTTTAGAAATTGGTGAAGCAAGTGCTGAAATCTTGGAAGAAGAAGAAGGTGAAAATAAATCTGATTTTGATCAAGCTGATTTGAAAAAAATTACATTGAAAGTTGTTCCATATTTTCTTAAACATAATCAAGAAGCTGATGCTATTGATCTCTTGTTAGAAACTGATAACATTAGTGAATTACCACAATTTGTTGATAAAGAAATTTATGGTAGAGTTGGTTTATATTTGGTTAGTTGTGTTCCTTTATTACCACCTCCAGATGATTTAGAATTCTTACAAACTGCTTATTCAATTTATTTAGAACATGGTGAATTGACTCAAGCTTTAGCATTAGCTGTTAGAATTGATAATGATGAATTAATTGAAGCAGTTTTCAATGCTACTTCAGATTTATCAATTAAAAAACAATTAGCTTTAATCTTATCAAATCAAAATTCTTCATATAAAAATGAAGAAGTTCAAGATTTGATTTACAATTCAAAATTATCAGAAAAATTCCATTATTTAGCTAAAGAATTGAACTTATTAGATCCAAAAGTTCCAGAAGATGTTTATAAATCACATTTAGAAAACACACGTCAAAAAACAACTTCAATTGATTCAGCAAAACAAAATTTAGCTGCTAGTTTTGTTAATTCATTTTTAAATTTAGGTTATGGTACTGATAAATTATTAACTGAAGATGATAAATGGATTTTCAAAACTAAAGGTGATGGTATGTTATCCACCACAGCTTCTATTGGTTCAGTTTATCAATGGGATATTGATGGATTACAACATTTAGATAAATATTTGTATTCAACTGAAGATGAAATTAAAGCTGGTGCCTTATTAGGTATGGGTCTTTTAGGTTCAGGTGTTCATGATGAAGTTGAACCAGTTTTATTATTATTACAAGATTATGTTAATGATCCAAATAGAAAATTAAGCACAGCTTCTATCTTAGGTTTAGCTCTTTCATTTTCAGGTTCTCAAAATGAAGATTTATTAAACTTATTATTACCATTAGTTTCAGATCTTGAAGTTCCAATTGAAATTTCTGCCCTTTCTGCGTTAGCTTTAGGTCATGCTTTTGTTGGTACTTGTAATGGTGATATTACTTCAACAATTTTACAAACATTATTAGAAAGAGATTTTGAACAATTAAAGAGTAAATGGATTAAATTTTTAGCTTTAGGTTTAGGTCTTTTATTCATGGGTAAAGCTGAACAAGTTGATGATGTTTTAGAAACCATTCAAGCTATCGAACATCCAATTGTCAAGAGTCTAGAAGTTTTAACTAGAATCAGTGCTTATGCTGGTACTGGTAATGTTTTAGAAATTCAACGTTTATTCGAAATCTTAACACCAGAAGGTCCAGAGCCTGAAAAGAAGGAAGATGAAGATGAAGATGAAGTTGCTGAAGAAGAAGAAAAAAAAGAAACTGAATCAAAAATTAGAGCTAAATATAAAGGCAAAACCGCTAAAACAGATGCTGATGGTGATGAAGATATCACTGAATCTGCCCCATTAAATGCTTTTGAAGCAGAATCTGAAAGTACCAAGAAAGAAGGTGAAGATGATGATGACGAAGATGAAGATTCTGAAGAATCTAAATCTAAAGAAAACGATGATGATTCACTATCATATGCCGTTTTAGGTATTGCTATTATTGCCTTAGGTGAAGATATTGGTAAAGCTATGAGTTTACGTCATTATGGTCATATCTTAGATTATGGTAGCCCTTCAGTTCGTCGTGCGGTTCCATTAGGTATTGGTTTATTATCACCATCCAATCCACAAGTTAATATTATTGAATCATTATCTAGAATGTCACATGATACAGATGTTGATGTTGCTATTAATGCCATTTATTCCATGGGTTTAATTGGTTCAGGTACCAATAATGCTAGATTAGCTCAATTATTCAGACAATTAGCAAGTTATCATAGAGATTCAAATGCCTTATTTACAACTAGAATTGCTCAAGGTTTAACTCATTTAGGTAAAGGTACCATGACATTGAATCCATTCACAACTGAAGGTAGAATTTTATCAAAAGTTACATTAGCTTCATTATTAACCGTTGCTGTTGGTTTCTTAGATCCAAGCTTCATCTTAGAAAATCACTCATTATTATTCTTCTTAAACAGTGCATCTCGTCCAAGAACATTAATAACAGTGGATGAAGATTTAAATGAAATCCAAGTTACAGTTAGAGTTGGTAAAGCAGTTGATGTTGTTGGTCAAGCTGGTAATCCAAAGACTATCACTGGTTGGGTTACACAAACCACTCCTGTTCTTTTAGGTTATGGTGAAAAAGCTGAATTAGAAGAAAACAGTGAATATATTGCACTTTCATCATTCCTTGAAGGTATTGTTATTTTAAGAAAAAATCCAGATTATATAGAGCCTGAAAAGCAGTAAATAATTTGATATTTATGAATTACTACAAATTTTGTTAATGTTTTAAATAATTTTACATCATCGTAGTTTTATATATAAATCAATATTATACAAATGATCTTTTGAAAGTAGGGTCAGTACTGTTTAATTGACGTTTAACTCTATATTTAAAATGCATAATTGTGGTTTTCTTATATTCTGAACTTCATTTATAAATTAAAAAGGGAAATAGTAATAATCTATTGGAAATCAACAGCTTTACCAGCCATTAATAAACCAACAATCAAACCAAAAAGACCTAAAACAGATCCGAAAATTTCAATAACTAAAATTTTAACAAATAATGAAGAGTCAGCAGCATCAGAAATAGCAGCTGTGGAACCAGTTATACCAACAGCAATACCACAAATCAAATTACTGACACCAACAGTTAATCCAGCCCAAAATAATGAATAACCAGTATACAAATTACTTTTTGAGAATAAGGTATCAGAACTAGCACTTGTGATTTTTGATGAAAAGACAATAGCCATAATTAATCCATAAATAGCAACAACTTCACAGAAAATAATACTGATTAAATTCTTTGTTGTTATACGTGGAGCACGAACACCAGCACCCAAGATTGATGAACCTGTAATAAAGATACCCCAAGCAGCACCTACAACACTTAACCCAATACAAGCTGCAATACCTAAATTTGCCCAAAGGTATGGTGAAGTTGTTTCTAAGAAGTGACCAAAGTTGAATGTTTCACCTTGACCAGTGAAAAGTATATCTATTTGAAAGTCAATTGTTAGTTATTGCATCTAAAACCATTATTTATATGGGAAACGTTTATGTATTACTTACAACCAGCGTATACTGTTATGACAGTACCCACCAAATAATTCAATGATGTTTGTACTGATGGATATTGGATCTTGACGTCACTCATGATTGCTTCGTCTTTTATGTTATATGAATTGAACCGTTGATGGGAAAGAGTTGATCAACTTGTCGTATTAGATAAATTAACTCGTCTTTATGTTGAATTCCAGGAGGCCATTTTGTTAACTACTCGCGATTCGCGAATATTCGCGAAATCTGGCAGCTCCGTAACCCTGTCGATAATAGACAGCTAATATTAGTTTGTACAATTAAATACAAAAATATTAACAGAATCTCTATCGTAATGTATTATAAACTAAATTAAACACTTCCTCTTCATTATTTTTCATGAACAACAGCACCTTCGTAAGCTAAATCCAAAACTTTCCAGCTACATGTGATCTTTTCTTTGGCAAATCTGTTGACAATTTCTTCAGCAATGTTTTCAAAGTTTTCAGTAGCTAATGCAAGAATAGTTGGACCTGCACCTGATAAACAGATACCTAAAAGACCTGGATGTGTTTTTGGTGTGACAGATGATAAGATTTCAGTCAACCCTGGAATTAAAGTCTTACGGTATGGTTGATGAACTCTATCTTGCATAGCTGGATAAATTAATTCTGGATCTGGTGGTGATCTAGTCAATGCAGTAGTTAAAACAGCTAATCTTTGTAAATTGAAAATCATATCTTTAGCTGTGAATGCACTTGGTAAAACACCTCTTGATTTAGCTGTGGAGACTTCGAAATCTGGAATGATTGCGATACATTGTATTTTTTTACACCAATCATATTTGATGTGACGACCAATGTCATGAGGTGGGATTGGTGGGACAAGACCTGTATTTTGACCACCAGCTGGTTCTGGTAAGACTTCACTTAATGGAATTTCTTTACGTTCCATTTCAGCAGCACTCAAATCACGTAAATATGAACCAACAAAACCACCCATCATAGCAGCAGTGATGTTATCTGGATGACGTTCGATCATTAGACAGTAATCTAACATTCTTTGTTTACTGAAACCTAATTTACCAATTTCATTACCTAAAATAACACCAGCAACAACAGCAGCACCAGATGAACCTAAACCTCTACCTAATGGGATTGGATTCTTGACTGATATTTTGGTACCAATTGGGAAAGATCTGATTTCATTACAGCGTAAAACGTATAAAGCTGTACGGGTGATCAAGTTTTCATCTGATTTTAACGGAACATCTTCAGCACCTTGACTTGATGGATCATATGAAATCAAACAATTATTTGGATCGTCATTGGTTTCTGAAGCATATTTTGAGTCAACAGTGACATCTAATTCAAGATATAAACCTAGACCTATACCTAAGACATCAAAACCTGGACCAATATTGGCCGAGGATGCTGGAACTGCTATTTGAAAGTTACGTGTCATGACTTTTCTTTGTCAACCTGAGAGCAATTCAACTAGCTTTTAAAACAATATTTGATATATCATCTTATCATCTGATCGATCTTCTCGATGATTTTTCACCGTTTGAGTCAAAACTTACACCACTTCCGAAGGCAAAAAACGTGACTTGATTTCCACCGGAATTCAAATTGAAAGAATCGGCTAGAAATGATAGATTATATATGAACTGAAAAGTTGGTTCAGATCTAACAAACTACTTTATTGTTTTACTCTACTCAAGATAAGTATAAAGAATGCTAGGTAGAAGTGCATTACACCAAAGTCGTAATGCTTTGAGAAAATATTCTACTTCAAGTAATGTATGTTGTCCATTTATGAAGTTGGCTCAAGAACAATTTACTGACAATACAAATTATAGACTTTCCAATCAAGTACATTGAGTAATGGTATAAGAGTGGCTACAAATCCATCACCAGGCCATTTTTCAGCTTTAGGTCTTTATGTGGATGCTGGTTCAAGATTTGAAAATGATGATATGAAAGGTATAAGTCATATGGTTGATAGATTGGCTTTTAAATCAACAATGAATACAAGTGGGCCAAAAATGTTGGAAACTTTAGAACTTTTAGGTGGTAACTATGTTTGTGCATCATCAAGAGAATCGTTAATGTATCAAGCATCTGTTTTCAATAAAGATGTTGAACAAATGTTCCAACTTATGTCTGAAACTGTTAAAATTCCAAAAATTACTGAACAAGAATTAGCTGAACAAAGATTAACTGCTGAATATGAAATTGACGAAATATGGATGAAACCTGAACTTATATTACCAGAAGTGTTCCATTCTGTTGCTTACAATGATGTCACATTAGGTAGTCCGTTATTATGTCCAAGAGAAAGATTACCAGCTATCACAAGAAATTCTATCATGCGTTATAGAAATAAATTATTCAACCCAGAAAGTATCGTTGCAGCTTTTGTTGGTGTTCCACATGAAACAGCTGTTGAGTATGCAGAAAAATATTTAGGTGACATGCAACAAAAACAACGTAAAGCTGTTCCAAAAGTTGCACATTATACTGGTGGTACCGCTTTCCTTCCCCCACAACCACCAATGGGTAACATGCCAGATTTAGTCCACGTTCATATTGGTTATGAAGGTCTTTCATTTGATGACCCAGATATTTATGCCTTGGCTACTTTACAAACTTTACTTGGTGGTGGTGGTTCTTTCTCTGCTGGTGGTCCAGGTAAAGGTATGTACTCCAGATTATATACCCAAGTGTTGAATCAATTCTACTTTATTGAAAGTTGTATCGCTTTCAACCATTCATACACAGACTCTGGTCTTTTCGGTATATCAGCATCTTGTATCCCACAAGCTGCACCATACTTGGTAGAGATCATTGGAAGACAATTAGCACAAACATTCTCTACTGGACAAGGTCAATTAAATGATAGAGAAGTTTCAAGAGCTAAAAATCAATTACGTTCTTCATTATTAATGAACTTAGAATCAAAAATGGTTGAATTGGAAGATTTAGGTCGTCAAGTCCAAGTCCGTGGTCATAAAGTTCCAGTTCAAGAAATGGTTAAGAAGATTGAAAGCTTAACAACTGCTGATATCAGAAGAGTTGCTGAAAGAGTCTTAACAGGTAAAGCCAATAACCCTGGTAAAGGTACTGGCGCTCCAACTATTGTTATCCAAGGGGAACCTGAACAATTCAATAATATTGAAGCTACTTTAGAAGGTTTAGGTTTAGGTTCAAAAATTGAACAAGAATCAACACCACCACCTTCACCAAAGAAAGGATGGTTTGCTTAAGATTCAACATTTAGATCATGTACATAGAAAATGCATAATAATATAGTGTATCATATTTATCAATCAAGTGTAAACTACAGTTTTATATCAATTAATGTCTTATGGGTATCATTATATTTATAAATCTTAAATAAAAACGTCACTACTAACTAAACTCTTTCTCTTTGTGGTAACCTTATCAAATCTGTCCTTCCACTCCTCTATTTCTCTTTCTAATTCAAGATTGCTTTCTTGTAGATGTTTGATTTCTCTTTCAGATCTCTTCAAGCTTAACTTAGTTGACGAGTCTTCTATTTGCCATTTGTTGATGGTATTCAATAAATCAGAAATCTTCATCTCATATTTCTCTTTAGCATCTTCAAATGAAGCCATTTGTTTGGCTTGTCTATCAACTTGATCTTTTAGTTCATCAACTGTTCTTTCCATGTTTCTATTGGATTTTATTGATTCATGCTTTTCATTACTTTCAATTTGTAATCTCTGTTCTAATTTTTCAATTCTTTCTAGCCATATTGAATCATCAATCTCATTGAATTTGGTTTCTAATTCTAAAATTTTATCCTTTAGTTGATTATTGTATTTTCCAAGAGCATTATTTTCTTCAGAAATTATAACATTTCTTTGTTTTTCCTCTTCTATATATGCCCTTAAGTCTTCTTGTAAGGAATTAGATTTCTTCTTTTCTTTCTTTAAATCATCAATCTCACTCAAATATTTTTCAATGCTTTGTTCTAAACCATAGTATTTTTCCTGAGCTAACTCTCTTTCATTGGAAAAGTTTTTATATTCACCAGACAAATCCCTTATTTGTAATTCCAAACTCTTTTTATCTGATTCAAGATTATCTCTTTCTCTAATCAATTTGTCCACGGAATCATTCATTGTGCTTATTTGATTCATCAAAGAGCGTAATTTTACTTCAAGATCTTTTTGAGCAACACTCGATTCTTCATTCTTATCTTCCAAATCTTTCACCAAACGTAAATAATATGATTTTTCCTTAGTGAGCTCTCTAACCTCTTGAGCTTTTTGTGATTGAAGATTTTCAAGTTCAAGTTCAAGTGATCCAATGTCTTTACGGAGTTCAGTTTCATTTCTCATAGAGCGTACAAGCTCGTCATTCAATTTTTGAATTTCTGCATCATATTTATCTGTTCTAGAGCTCTTCATTAAACGCTCATGATAATGACCAACCTCTTCCTGCAACATTATATTAGATGATTGTAGTTTGGAAAACTCGGATTGTCTTTCTTCAATTGCTTCTCTCAATTGGCTAATGTTTTGATTAAGTTTCACAATTGCAACTTCACTCTTTCTGTTCTCGTTCTTTAGCTTCTCAACAGAATCAATGGCCTCTTGGAGTTGTTCTTTGGTAAACTTCTCGCTGTGTTTAGCGGTTCTAACAGCAGCTTCTGCACTTTCTAATTTAGCATAATAGTCTTCGGCTCTAACCTTGTATAATTTAACATTATTCGATAAGTCTGAATTTTTCTTTAGCAGTGCCTCTAGTTGTAATTGAACTTTTGTGAGCTCCTCTCTAGCTAGTTGGTTGGATAAAGACTCAATTTCACTGGCTTTGTACTTTTCAATAACCACAGTGGCTTCTGAGAGATCTTTCTGGAGTTGGGAAATTTGGTATTTGGATTTAGCCAGTTCTTCCTTTGTTAAACTCAAACTTTTACATGTGTCTTGATATGCTTGGGATAATTGGTCATCAGACTTTGCTTCCTTCAAACCTCTATTATTCAGAACTGAACCTCCTCTAAAGGAATCAGAATCTTCAGCTAATTTTCTTTCCAACAATCTGATTCTTGCTTCACTTGCTTCATACTTGGCTTTGTAAGAATTAAATTCATGTTTCAACGTAAATGGAGAATCCATGGAGTTTCTATCAGCTAATGCTCTTCTCGGGTTCTTGTTTGCCCTTTCTGATGCCTTTCTTTCTAGATCCAAATCTGTTCTCAAGTTGCTGATTTGTCTAGACAGATTTTCATTTTCACGAGATAAACGATCATAACCTTCATCAAATGATAGTGGTGATAGACCAAGACCTTCTTTGATTTTGTTTAGCTGAATTTTAAGTTGTTGTTTATCGAAAGCTTCAGATGCCAATCTTGAATGGAGCATTTTTAGGTCGGCTTTCATCTTGGTCTTCTCTATAGTTTCCTTCTTCAGCATTGCACTTTGCTCATTCAGTTGTAGCTTCAAGTTAGCATATTCTCTTGTTAATTTTTCTTTTTCATCATGTAACCTATCAACATTATTATCAACATGTGAGTTCAATGATTTGCTTCTAAAAGCTTGTAGAGCACCTTGAGCAACACGAACGTCAGTGGCTTTTCTATCTTTTTGCAAGTCATCATTTTCAATCTTTAAAGATCTTACTTCAGATGACAGTTTGTAAGATTTTGAACGCTCTTCAGATAATTGTTCATTTAACTTGGACACGTGTAGTTTCAACTCAGAGATATCAGAATCATACTTTTGTTTCCCTCTATTGAATGTGACTTCATCACTGATTTTTCTTTGTAATAACTCACGAGCTTCATTTGCCTCATGCTCTAGCTGTTTATGTTTGGATCTCAAATCAACCATTTCACTCTTCACTTTAGCAAGCTCTGAAGCAACATCACCTTGTTCTCTCTTTAACATATCTCTTTCAGCCTCAATGGACTTTATAGTTTCAGCTTGTTGTTTTAGTTGAGCCTTTATATGTTCTAGATCTGATTCTTTCTTATTCATAACTATTTCATATTGGGAAGATGAATCTTGCAAAGTTTTTAATTTAGAGTGTAAATTTTTGTTTTCTTCAACTAACTCTTTGATTCTCTTGTTTGCATTATTGTAGCTTGATGTAATTTCACTAACTTTCCCTTGAAGTTCATAATCTGAGTTCTCAATTTTTGCCTCTAATTCGGAAATCAGCTTCTCTTTGGACTTGAGTAATGCTTTCAACATTTTAAGTTCTTCACCAATTTTTTCGGTACTTTCTGCGTATGACTTTTGGGAATTTTGAGCTTCCTTCAAAGAATTCTCAAGTTTATCAATCTTTGAATTGAGCATTTCTTTCTCCTTTTCTAATGTCTTGACTAGTTGTTTACCATTCTTGATGTTTTCTTCAAATGACTTTAATTTTTCATCTAGGTCTTGTTTAGACTTCTTGAATGCATCACGTTGATCTTCTAAGTCTTTCATGTTGGTCATGGTGGACTCAAGCTTACCCTCAAGTTCTTTTTCTCTTTGCTTGGTTTCCTCTAGTATTGATTCTTTTTCTTTTAAGATGGCACGTTCAGTTTCAACTATACATTCCAGTTTAGTGAGTTCTTCTTCAGTCGTCAGACTTTTAGTGTTTATTTCACTCTTTTCCTTCTCGAGCGACTCAAGTTTACTTTCCAAGTTCTTAATATGATCTTGTATTTGCTTTGTCTTGACAGCTTGACCTGTAGTGGAAATGAATGGCTTCACATCAGCATATAATTTGAACCAAGCATTTTTATCTAGTTTATTATAAGCATTGAAAGCCTTCATCAATACTTGAGATGCTTGAATCTTTTGTAGTTGGGTATTGATTGACTTTCTTCTTAGTTTACCTCGAGCAATAGCTTTCAGCTCAGTAACAATAGATCTAATTTTATTGTCTCTTTGAACTTCAAGGTCTGCAAGAACACCAGCTTTGAAAAAAACTTTAGTTGAACCAACTTTATATAATTCTGAATCTAATTTTATTGAAGATAAGACTGTAGTACAATTGGTCTTTAATGTTTCTGAAAATACAGCATGATCAGCCAAAATCTTATATCTTGAGAAGAAGCTATCAAACGCAACACGGTTAGGGAAACCTGATCTAACAATTCTTATACCTTCCAGAACACCATTACATTTTAATTGTTCCAGCACTAGACTCTTATCAAATGTTTGTGGCTTTTTCTTATTATTAGGTAAAATACATCTAACGAAATGAGGATGTGTATCTGAAAGTTGAGTTAAAAGACCACCAAGTTGTTCCTTATGCTTTTGTGCAACTGTTCTAAAAGATGATGATTTTTGAACCTGGTCATTCTCGTATAAACCAGCAATAAACGAGTTTTCTGAGTTTGCTAAGACATCAACAATGTTGTCATTTAAAGGATCACGATTCTTTTCGATCCATCCTTCAACTGAATATTCAACATCACCAGCATAATGTTTTAATGAGAATTTGCTTGCAAATCTAGATGGTTTGTATTTTTCAGATTTACCATTGCAGAAAGAGTTTAACTTTTCAAAGAATGATTTATCAGTTGATCTTGGAACAATACACTCTTCATCCAGTACTGAAAAGATACCAACTGGTTTTTGCTTTTCAATCAAATCAATTGTTTGTTGCAAGTCTTGTCCAAAATCTATGAAATCCCAATCTATATTTTCCTTTATATATTCGTTTTGCTCCAAAACAAACATGTGATGATTGAAAAATTGTTGGAGTTTTTCATTGGTATAATTAATACACAATTGTTCAAAAGAATTTTCTTTGAAAATTTCAAAGCCAGCAATATCTAAAACACCAATAAAATTTTGGCATGTAGAATCATGATCAAGGTTTTCATTAATTGCATCAACAAGAAATTTAAAAACTTTTTCATATAACGATTTAGATAGAGCATCAAGAGAAAATTTGGCTTGGGATGCATTTCTTGATTGTTTAACAAATTCTTTACCAGCTTTGACTTTTGGTCTTAAGATTGCATCATTGAATTGTGTTTTGGAAACTCCTAGTAATTCACATAAAGTATCAACAGATGATTTGAAATTTGCTTGTTCTGCTTTCATTGAAGTAAATTCAATATTACCAATATGCAAAATAATAGCTATAAGTTTAAAAATTTCATAATATTTCGCCTTCGGGACACCCATGATATCTAGAGCATTTTTCAAATCTTTGAATTCCTTTTTATCATCCACTCCAGGTATAGTATCATTTCCAGCTTTCAAGTATTCATAATGCATAGGTGATTTCTTCAATCCAAGTAAGGACAATTCTTTTTCTGATAGACCAGCTAGCAATTGATAAAAGATGTGATAATTTCTTTCTTGTTTGGATTGTTTTACAACTCTTGATTTTTCTAGAAGATACCAATCAATATGAGCTCCACCAATCTTACCTTTGCTATCAAATTCAATCTTTATGAATTTACCAAATCTTGAAGAATTATGGTTTCTAACAGTTTGTGCATTACCGAAAGATTCTAATATTGGATTTGCTTGTATAATTTGCTTTTCAAAACTTGCAGTTTCTTGGTTAGGGTCTGTTGTAATTGCAGCTAAATATTGAATAATCTTTTTAGTATTTTCTGTTTTACCTGCACCTGATTCACCAGTAACTAAAATAGATTGATCTCTTTTGTTTTTAAGCATATTTTGGTATGTTTCTTCTGTCTCAGCAAATATATGTGGTTTTGTTTGGTCTTTTGGAATATTGTTATACATTCTGACTTGTTCATCATCATAAATTGGAAGTTTTGAATAAGGATTGACAGCCACTAAGAAAAGGCCAGAATATGTATAAATCAAATCATCATTGTATCTTCTTTCCAAATTGTTCAAGACCGAAGGCTCATTCAAAAAGGTCAATTCTGCCATATCATCAGCTTTATCAAACTTAGCTGGATTCACCTTTTCAACCTTTGAAGCATCAAAAACATCTTGCTGTTTGTATTTTGTTAGTTTTGTTCAATTGTGCTTGTGTAATGGGTCATATCCAACTTACCTTTGTATCTTCAAACTCAATTTTAACTTTGTTGTCTTCAAGATTCTCAATTATGAAACCCTTCCTAAAGACTGTGTTTTTATCAGGAACCCAAACCCAATCACGGGCTGTTGACTCAACGTCCTGTGAAGAGTCAATCATCTATGTTCCAATTATAATGTAGAATGCAAAAGTATCCTTAAATACTTTGTGAATGGCTTTGTTTACGGTTTTTTAGTAGTAGCCCAAGTAATAAAAAAGACTAGCGCACCCTCTCTGTAGATTTCAAAACATAGATCTGAAATGTAAACAAAATGTTTTTTCAATTGTTATTGTTTATTAATTTCCGTTTTGGGATAATATCCGTTTTGGGGAAATTGAAATCCGGGATTTGATGTCACGTGAAAATGCTTTTACCCTCGTAATTGTAGATTAGCTGATAAGGTGAATTGTGTCACTTGTGGTGAGCCATATTAATCGTCTAAAAGCATTCCACTGGAAACATTTCAAAGATACAAGCCGTTTGAAAGCATTCATGGCGCCCAGTTACAAAGTATTCACGTCAACTGAGTCCTCTATGAGGTCGCTAGACCACCAACCCAGTCACAACAGAACCCTGATAGATTCAGATTGCTCCATATCTTCGTTTTTGCCATTTGTGTCTTCAACTTTTAATTCGTGTGACTTGAGAAATGAATCATTAGACTATAATTATTCCACAGATTCGAATTATATCCTGGGTTTCCCACTGTCAAATGTTTTATCAATTTCAAATCGGGGTTCGTTCGATTCATTGTTAGTTACTTCTGTGATTGATAAGCTTCCATTTGAAATCAGGCTCAAAATTGCATGCTATTTAAATCAATATGATGCTTATAATTTAATGAGAGTCAACAAGTCATTTTTTGAGTCTACGGTATCAAGACTATATCACACAGTTGTAATAGATCCTGATTATTCACCATTCAATCAAGATATCAATCAAAGTGGCTTGAAAAACAGATGTCAAAGTATCAGTGCAATTACCTTCATTAAAATGGGTTATAGTTTGAAATGTTTCTTCAACACCATAAATCAAAGTTTACCAATTGATGACTATCATACACAGTCACAATGTTCAATCAGTTATGGTTTATTAATTAGCAAAATTCACTTTGTTGAGGTGCCTGATGGGTTTAATTGTCCTTTTGACCTCAAATTCTTCATCTACAATTCAATACTAAAACTTGAGAACTTGAATAAATTTATTTGGGATTCATCAGAGGCATTACCATACGGAATTATTGATAGCCTTCCTAACAAAGATAGAGTTAGCTCGTTATTTGTTAATTTGTCTTTGAAAAAGAATATTACATCTAAAGATTATGAATCTTTTAAACATTTTAAGAATTTAGAGAGTCTATCATTGGAGCCATTTATCAACTCTTGTAATCTCTTTCAGATATTCAAGAGTCTTTTGGAAGGAAATGAGGGTGCTCCTGATAAATTGAAATCTCTAAGAATAGCAAGATATAATTCCAATAACAACTTTTTAAAGAGTATACCCAGTTCTGCCTTGGTGTTAACGGATTATATACTAGAACTTGAAAACATACAGCTTTCAGAGTATGATATGAATTGTATTTTGAATTTATTCATTCTTTTCAATAGCTATGATACAGAACTTATGAAATTGGAAACTTTTGCTCTAGATTCAATAGTCATTTCAACTCTTGATGCTAAAAGGTTAGGAAGCTTCATTAATTTATCAATACTAACACACCTAGAGTTAAGAAACATGACGGAAGTTCAGTTTCCAGAAGATATACAGTCAGCAATGTCGATGAAGGACTTGAGCTTGAGGCTTGATCAAGGGTTTTTAAAATCTTTAGGGAGAAAGTTGAAAAGCTTGAAAAGATTGTCTATAGACTATAGAGAAGGCTTAAGAGATACTGTTCCTTCATTTATACATATGTTGGATAACCTTGAAGAATTGGATGTGACAATTAGATGGAATATCACCAAGTTATGCACCCATGAATCTTGGAAACATCTGTGCTTTAGATATGTTAAAGCGATTTTAAAGCATTCAAAAACTTTAAAAAAGTTATCATTAGACACAAAGGAGGATTCAGTGTTTTGTGACCTGCACAAGTTAATTTTTACAGAATACTTATTAGAACTTCGTGATATGAAAAACTTGATGTCTTTGAGACTACACGGTTATTCATTACAAGGTTGTGCACCTATGTTAGTATCACATTTACCTAGCTTGGAATTCATGGAATTGTTTGGTTCTGGTGCTGGTGGTACACCTCATATGGGATTACAGGTAGTCCATGAGGGTGTTCTTGATGATGCCTTGAGAGTACAACATGTTGCCGAGGCAATTAGTAAAAGTAATGGGCATGTTAAATTCATAAAGATTGACAAGTGCATCTTTGAGGTGAAAGAAAACGGTAAAATACTCCCTAGAGATGGTCTAGGAGGATGGTTTGGCAGAAACGTTAGGGTAGAAATGGATAGAGTTTAATAGACCAGGTGTTTAATTATGGAATGATAAATACTTAGTCGCATAATATAATCTAGATTTAATTACATCCGTAAATAGCGTTATCTCAAATAGTATGAACGTCGTATACTCATAAAAATTATTAATGGTTATAAAAATCTATAAATAATAAAAGACAAATGATTTAATGAAAAAACTCAACAGGTATATAAAGCGCCGTTAGATAAATGAATCTATTAATGAAAAACAAGTATATGAACAAATGATGCAACTTCTAAACGATAAAAAACAAATGCAAATGATTGAACGAAAATAAATGACTGATATAGTAACTATGCAATAAAATTCTAAGAATAATTCATCGGATTCACATGATGATACAACATTTATTACCACCATCTTCTTTTGATTTTTTGTTTTGACTATTTCTTTGAGTAGTTGTTGTATTATGTGGAATATCTCTAGTGATTTCTGTACTTGAAATTGATTTTGATAACTTATCTTGAGATGGACCATTCACAGATTTCTCATCACTCTCTAGTAGTTCATGATCTTCTTCTTTTGGAACGTGTTCTTGGAGGCCGTCAGTACTGGATAATTTATGATCTGATGTGTTGATTGTGAATGTAGAAGCTCTTTCTATTCTTGAAATTGGTTTTGAGCTTGTTGTTGAATCTGACAATTTAGATTGTGAGGAATTCCCAGTTGTTTTACCAGTAGTTGATGACCCATTTGATGAATTTGTATTATCAGTAGACTGCTTGAGTAATTCTGGTTTTAATATTTGTGTTTCTATTTGTGTTTTTCTTTGAATAATGGAATTGGTTAAATAGTTAAATGCATCTTTGATATTATAGTTGTTTTTAGCACTAACATCAAAATATTTTGATAAACTTAATTCTTTAGCTAACCCTTCAGCTTCATCAACACGAATCAGCCTTTCAGTTTCTAAATCACATTTGTTACCTAATAGCACTACTGGTGGAATGTCACCATGGATTCTTTTGATATGTCTATAATTGTTTGCAACTGAGTCAAAACTTTCAGTTGAATCAACCCTGAAGACTACAACAAACCCATCAGCTTGTTCAAATTGAACATCTTTCAGAGGTGAATATTCGTCTTGAATAGCAGTATCCAAAATCTGTAAAGTATAACGTTTACCATCAACCGTTAAATCTTTGCTATAAATATCCTCTATAGTTGGATCAAAGTCCAAAGGGAAATGAGCTTGAGTATATTGTAAAGTTATAGATGATTTACCAACACCTTCATCCCCCAAGACACAAATTTTGATAGTTTCTTTGACCATTCCTTATATATGCTGAATTTGTGTTTGTAAGTTTGGTATGTAGTATGATAATATACGTATGAGTAATAGTAATCAATTTATAATTCAAATTAAATGAAAAGTATATCTCAGTTTGTGTAACACTTATAATTAACTTAACTTCCAAAAGAGTTTTATAGTATCTGATTTACTAAAATATGTAAGATCTCTCTCTCTTTTTATACAAATCTTGGTTAGCTCAGGGTACGCTGCGCTTGGAGCAATTTTTCCAGTAGGCAAATCTTTTCTTTTGCACAACCTGCTTGATGTTTCTTTATGCACCACAATTTCTGAGATCCAGGGCAAGTCAGATTTTGGACAGTACTTGTTCAAACAGCTCAAATGAAACGGTTGAAGCTTCGAATGTGACAGACTACATTGACACTTGCTCAAGACTAGATCATGAACAAATTGTACCCGTCACAACTAGCAGTTAGTAAAGTTGTCTTCTGGCCTGATATTGTTATAAAAGCTATGATCCCTGACCCTAGAAGTTTGTTCATTGCTGTTACAAGCGTATAATCCAAAAGAGACACACTGAAAATGAACTGATTTTTAGTGCAAGCTCGATCTCACAGATTCTACTTAGCCGGTCTTGCTCTTAAAAGAGTCGTCTCGACTCTCGACTCTCGAGTCTCAAACTCTCGAACGACTCGGGTAAAAAGTTGAAGCTCAACTTATACGTGTGTGAAAAAAAATCTGAAAAAACAGAAATTACAGCAGCATCAAATTTGCACAAAGTTGCAGACTTGCATATCCGAAAATAACGGTTTTGGCGCTGAAAACTCAGAAAAAACCAAATTCGGGATTCCAAAATGACAGAATCATCCAAGAAAATTACCGTTTATGGAAATTGCGAAACTATACAATTTACTAGCTACCTAATACCTAATACCTATATACCTGGTAAGATGTAATCTATATGTTTCAAAAGCTAGTGAAACATCTCTTTTTTCTTGAAGCTATTTCGACCCAGACTATATTCCGAAATCTTTTCGAATTAATCAATCTAAAAGCCTCGCAATGTCCATATTATTAGCTGGTGAATCACCATAACTGTGTGGGGCCTACTGAAAAATTCTACTGTCCTTAAGAAAGCATTGAAATTTGAAGGTGATGATGATGATGATGATGATGATTCAAAGTGGTTCTAAGTTCTAGTAGGTCAACTCGTTCGTGTCGAGCGTAGACAAAATTCAAGTCTGTGTATACAGGTTTAATCAAGATCGTAGTTAATCGATGAAAAGGGCGGTTATGGATCGAAGCTATCTTGTTATATCTTGAAGGCAATATAGTAATATAGCTGAGAACATCATGTTACATGTATACTAGTACGTCCTATATGTAATCTGATCCAGCTATGTTAATATAGTGAACAATATCTATATAAATATCTACGCCAATCTAGTTGATACATATAGCTGGTCGTCATGATCGAGGTCTCCTTATAATTTAATATGCTATATTGTGAAAATATTTGCCATCAACAAACTGACTAGCTGGAGTAAAGAGAATAATCGTCCTTCAATATACTATAATTATTTTGGGTAGCATCAGGATTCAGCAAGTGACTTAAATATTGCCGCTATAATCTCACCAACAGTCGACAGATACTCGAACTGGTCAATGGTAAGTTGTAACTGGTGAAGCTTGATCACGCGATCACAGGTGGATTAATCAATAGGTTGTGAGTCGTGACTCGTGACTGTCTACTTGGTGGAGCCTTAGCCCAGCCTTCAGACTTATATAAGTATTAACTTGTAAGTTGTAAGCTATAATTTGAAGTTTGAAGCTAATTAATTAATATGATTGATTATTGAAGACAAGATGCATAACCGTTTTCTTTCAAGTTTTTACGCAGCTCGGAAAACTGTTTTTTTTTTCGTTCATGAGTCCTGAAAAGGAATTTTGGTACGCGTTTAATTCAAGTTTAGAACGCAAAAATTCTACTATAAAAAACAGTCTTTAACTGTCATGCGCGTGCTTTAAAAAATTTAGTGACATGAAAATTGTTTCGTGTAGTACTGTATTTGATGAAGTTAAACAAAGGTGTGTGAAGTTTAAACACTGAATAGCCTCGGTTTGTACGGTTTGATTGATCTTAAATTTGTATCAGGTAGGGCCGCCTAGTAGACAATAACATAGTTGTGTTAATTGAAAGTTGATTGATCCCCTTGGTTGAATCAAATCTGTATAATGAAACTTCGTGTTATATTGCAAATTGCAAATTCACACCGGCCTCATGAGCTTGAGCTAAGTATAGCCTATATATGAGCTTTAGTGTGCGCTTTACTGCCGTTTAGTTAAATAGTAGACGTCTAACGGCCAGCTAATTATAAACGTGTGAAACCAGGCGAGCTAGAGGAACTCACAGGGGCCAGGGCCCAGGGCCTTGTCTTGTGCCTTTATATAGAAATTGCTAGTGTCCGATCAGCTCTCAAGATACCTAATTTTTATATACGTTACTTTGTCCGATGTTCACATATACCATATATATCAATATTGAATATTATATATGATGTCTGGGCGCAAATATATTAGACTTAGACTGTATAATTGGTGTGTGTGCTTTGAAAGTTATCAGTGATTTTGTCTTGTACAACTCACACAAGGTAGCAGCTAGCAGGAAGATTGGTATATCAATATATTATGCGGTACATTTGAATCACCATTTAAATTTTATAGGTGTGGATAATGGTATAGCTGCTTTGGCATTCCGAATACCAGATTGAAGTTAGATGACCAGACGACAGAAGTACTCAATATTTTCCAAGACAAACTTCGGCTTTTCAACCTCATAATTAGATCACGCTGTTCACTATATGATCCCTAATATCAATTGGTTGTTATATAATATCAATCTACAATATCAGCTAGATACGAGCCCTAAGTTTATTGAATGAATACCTAAATGAATATCGCTGATTAGACAGAGCCTGAAGACAAAGAACCAGGGATCAGGGTTCTGTTCAGTACGATAATCAAACAGTTAATAAAGTATACAGTAGATCTCGAGAGACGAGATATAAGGCCGCACTGCGTACTACTAATTATAACCTAAACTTGGCGATTTAGCATTCCATATAATGAAGTCGACAGTGGTTGACTAGCTAGGCGAAAGTTGAAGAGATCATTCTCAGACGACGACGTGGCAGCTTTATATTAGATGTTATGCTAACAATATTGTTATGCAGTGTTTCAACTCTATATATTATATACTAACGATATAATGTAGCTAGAACAGCTCATGTTCAAGCTCAAACTTCAATCAATATGTAGTATGTACTAATCACAGCTAGCCATATATCTATAACATTTCATGCTCAGTTATAACATTAGGGTTTAGGACTATTACCCCATACAACCTCGCGTTATCAGCTTCATTTTCATGAATAGCGTAATTCATATAATTTGACGCGTATACTGTTATGATTCACCGGTTTTTGAATCTTTAAATTTCCTAATCAGATCAATTTACGTCTCCAAAATATATCAGCCGTCGGCGTCGCCCGCGACGTAAACCAAAAGTTAAAGTTTTCGTACCTGACATCTATGAAAATCTTAAACTTTAAAATTTTACTCGATTATATAATATATTTACAGTTTTTAACGTAGATCTTTCTTTTATTTTATTGGTTTAGAAAACCTTAGAACAATAAATTTTAATGACATATGTATAACCACATACATAAAGAACAATACCAAAGCTTTCTTGGAACAGTATTGCTTGATTAAGATACAGTTCAAGAATACTAAGTGAAATTCTTTAATCGTAATTGCAAATGCAGAAGCAGTAGACGACGTTACATGTTACATGTATACATCAGAATTTTACCATGATTATCCGAACTGAGGTCTCGACTCGAGTCTCGTCTCAAGCTTGAGGGTTCTTTGAAAACGTATTTACGTTGAACCGTTGAAGAAACAATATGCATCAGGGTTAAATATATCGTCGCGTATAAGTACTTGAGATCTAATTAAATCTCGGTAGAATGATCACTAGTATAGTCTTAGAATCGAAACATCGTATCGATAAGCTTATTAAAGGAGAGGATACTATTAAGATATAGCTGCTTGTTATATATAGCAATATTGTGCTCTTTATATTCATATTGTTGTCGATATCATATCGGTATACGATTTAATTGTTGCTGTATAAGCTAATTATTAAGTTACCTATACCATAATATACTCAACAACTCTACCACTTGATCTAAAACATTTTGGTATACGCTAAATCGGTTAGATGAGTTGATCTACAATATTTTAATACACAATACAACTATGTGATTTCTAATATACAATCTATAATATACATATATGCCACTTCTTTGTCTTCATTAGCTCCTTTACTTGTCTTTTGTCTTTTGTCTTTTGTTGGTTGGGTTATACTTGAATCTCAGATCTAAATATATTCCCACCATTAATCCCCTCTTGTTCATGATTTTTAAACTGTTGATTAAATTGTTTAATCTCATTATCAATAATAAATTCCATTGCATCAATCAATTTCTTGAATAATTTTAATGAACCATTAATTTTAAAAATTTGAATTTCTTGTAATTGTTCATTGAAAAAAATTTCAAATTTAAGTGATTTTGATAATGATGATGATGCTATTGTTCTTGCTATTAATTTATCTGATGTTTCTGATAATAAGGAAAGTGTACCTTCTCTAATCCTTATTTGGATGATTAATTTAATAGCTTTTTTAATTTCAATCATTGGTATTGGTGATTTGAAAATTTTTATATTTTTTGGATTAACTCTCTTTGGTGTTGTTGTTGTTGATGTTGTATGATTATTTGATAATAAATTATTGAAAAGTTTAGTAAACCAATTAATTTTCTTAGGTTCTTGATTATTATTATTATTATCATCCTTTAATGGTAATTTTGGTGCATCTCTTTTTGGATCTAAATCTTTAAATTCTTTTGATTCAATTTTTGGTGAAACAATACTTGTTCTAAGAGTACCACCATTCATAGCTCTTAATGGAGATCTTTTCAATTGAGAATTTTGACGTTTATTTAAACCATCATTTTGTTTACCAGGTGAATAAACAACAGAAGAAACACCAACAGTTTCATAACTATTATTTTCTTGTTGAGTTATACCAAGACCTTGATCATGTTCATGATCTTGATCAGTATCATCATCAAATATAGTTGTAACTCTTGCATTATTATTATTCACTTGTTTAACATCAGTTTCATCAATTGTATCATCTGCAAATATAGAATTATCTAATATGGTACTATTAGTTTCATCTTTAAATTCATCTTGTTCCAAGATTGAATGTTTTTTATTTTTATAAATTTTTGATAATCTTCCAATAATTGGTAAATTTTCATCTTTTGTATTATTTGAATTTTGATAAAGACTACCTCTATAATCATTTGTTTGAGATTGATATTCTTGATTTTGTAATAAATCTTGGAAATCATCATCTTTTGAAGAAATTGCTCTTTTGTGATGTTTAATAACTGAAGATTTTGAATTTGATAATTCTAAAAAATTTTCATTATTTGGTAAGATTGATGATTCAACATCTTCAAACATACTTTCTCTTTTAATGTTTTTATTTATAAATGAATGAGAATCCAAGATTGAATTTGAATAATTTGAATTATATGGATAATTATTATTATCTTCTTGAGTTTCAGTAGAATCTTCATAATTATTTCTTTGAACAGTTAAATTTGAACCATTTGAAAATTGAATAGCTGTAGCAATTTCAGTTTTTGTTGGGACTTCAAAATCAAAAGATTGTTCACCTTCTTCTTCTTCTTCTTCATCATCTTCATAATGAGTTTCAATAAATTGACTTGGTGTTTGATTTATAGTATCAAAAGAATCATCAATTTCAGAATTATAATTTGATGAAGAAATTCTAAAATCTGAAGTATTAACAAATTCTTCATTTTTAATTTTTGGTAAATTTGGTTTTGAATCATTTGATTGAAATTCATTTTTTAAAATTGCAGATAAATTAATTGAAGTTGAAGATTTTGAATAATAAATCTTGGAATTTCTTTGATTATTTAATTTAACACCAAATTTCCCTAAAATTTGAGCATTATCATTACTTATACCTCTTTTTTTATATTTTGGATCTAATGTTGATAATTTTGGTTTTAAAGTTCTTAAAGGTTCAGATGAATATCTCTTGGTAGTTCCTGTTGAAATCATTGAAGAATTATTTACTTCAAAATTATTTTGACGTGGAATATGTAATTTATCTTCTTCTTTTTTCAATTTTGTTGGTGTTATTGTTGATGAAGAAATTTGTGAATAACTTTGAGAAATTTCGTCTTTTGGAATTTTTGGTTCTTCTTTAAATTCCTTCTTAATAATAACAGTATCTTGTTTTGATAACAAATTATCAACTTCCCTTTTTGGATTTAAAGTTCTTGGAGCTTTAACAGGTGAAGAGCCTAAATTTTTTCTTGGAGAAACTCTTTTCTTATTTGGTGATAAATTAAATAAAGAACTATTTTGATCTTTATAATTGAAAATTTCTTCACAAAGTAAAGCTAATTCATCTTTACCTTCTTTACTATTTTCATCTAACCAATCAATACCAACATCAGGTAATGGAGGTAATAAACTTATATTTTTCTTTAATTTTTCATTAATACTTGTAAATGATTTTTTTGATGAAGATCTTGAAATTCCTTGAATGTTATCTTTATTATTAAATGAAACACCACGACGATAAGAATTTGAAACAGGGATTTCAAATTGACCCATTTGATTTTTAGAAATTCTTTTCTTGGTTTTAGAAATTGTAGATTTTTGAGATGAAGAATTTGGTATAGTTTGTTGTTTAATTGAATTTGATCTACCATTATTTGAAGTTATACCGAAAACTGTTGAAGATGTAGTTGTTGATGAAGAATTTCTTTGATCTTGTGAGATTGGTAATTTTGGAACTTGAGTAATTGGACGTGATATTGGTTCTTGTTTATAATTAATAGTTTGAGAACCATCTTCATTTGTAATTGTAGTTTTAATTAAACTCTTGGATTTTTTCAAAAGGCCATCACCATTACCAATTTTTTTTTTGGAATTTTTATGTAAAATTTCAATTTTTGAATTTTGTTGATCTTTAATTTGATGTTTAATTTTATAATCATTTAATAAATAATAAAAAATTTTTTCTGGATTTGAATTTGATTCTAATAATTTTGAAATTAATAAAGATTGAGTTGCACCATGGAATAAAATTGATAAACTTTTCAAGATATCAGAATCAATATCATCTTCAGTTAATGATAATTTATCAATTTTAGAATAATAATCATTAATCGAATTTGTCTTGGTGGAATTTGAAATGGTTGGAGATTCATTATATTTAGTTAATAAAGGATGATTTAAAATATCTTTAATATTTATACGATCATTTGGATTAATTTTCAACATTTTCCAAATTAAATCTTTAGCATCTTTACTTAGATAATTTGGCATTATAAATTTCCCATTTTGAACTTTAATTAATAATTTTCTAATATTTTCATCATCAAATGGTAAATGACCAGTTAATAAAGCAAATAAAATAATACCACAAGACCAAACATCACTTGGAGAACCATGATAATTTTTCCCCGTAACAATTTCTGGTGAAGCATAATGAGGAGATCCACAACTTGTTTCTAATAATTTGGAATTAATTTCAAGGGCAGCCATACCAAAATCTGCAATTTTAATATTTAAATTTTTATCTAATAATAAATTTTCAGGTTTTAAATCACGATGACAAATATTAAATTGATGACAATAATTAACACCATTAATAATTTGTTTAAAATAATGAATAGCTTCTTTTTCTTGTAATCTACCTTTTTTAATTAAATAATCAAATAATTCACCACCTTCAACATATTCTAAAACAAGATATAATTCACCTTTATTTTCCCAAACATCATATAAAGCCATTATATTTTCATGAGAGATTAATTTCATTATAATGATTTCTCTTTCAATACCATAAGGACTATTACTAGTGGTACTGTTATTATCAGATTGAAATTTTGATTTTGGTACAATTTTCACAGCGGCTAATTGACCAGATTCTGAATGTTTTGCTAATCTAACACGACCAGTTGAACCTCTCCCTAAAGTTCTACCTAATTTCCAAGGACCAACATGATTTTTAGATTTTCTTTTCGAATTATTTGTATTTGTTGATATTTGAGATAATCTTTTAGTAGCATTTGTAACAGATTCTACAATTTTATCAATTTCTTCACCTTGTTGATGTTGTTGAACTTGTTGAACTTGTTGATTATGAATAGGGATAGCTGGTGGTTGTCTTGTATGTTTGATGTTGTTGTTATTGATGTTTATAGCGTTTTGATTGTTTGCAAGAGCTGTTTTAGCAGCGTGTCTAGCAAAAGAAGTGTTGTTATAAGGATGCATTTGTAAGAAGACTTGTCATGTGGTGGAGGTATAAAGGTATTAATTAATGAATGTAGGTATGATAGTGGTAATGGTAGTTGTATAGTCTTAGTGAATGAATAGAGTTGGTGTGACTTTGATGGTTGATAGTTGTACTGTTGTACTGATGATGGTAGTAAAAGTAATAGTAATACACGCTGAGAGTTCAAAAAATTAAATTGTTGATACTTTTTGTTTGTTTACTTTTCAAAAGGAGTCGCATTCTTGAATTGAACGCGATTGAAAATATTGTGTGTGTTATGTAATACTGATAATAAGAACGTTTATTTTAATTAAGCGCTGTGTGTTATTGTATGGGATTACTGAAAGATACTTTGATAGTGATAATAATAGTATAGTATAGTATAATATAATATAATATAATATAATCAATAATATAATATAATATAATCCAATTGTTTATTGTGTTATGTAATTGTTTACTATTTGGTTACTATGGCTATGTAAATATGTAGACTTCCTAATGTAGTAATCAAAGTGTATAATATATAGTATAGTATAATAATAATGTATATTAATAATTTTATTTCACAGCGGTTAATTTTAAATAAATGAAATGAAATTTAATTTTATTACATCAATGAGAAACCAATATTTAATTAAATTTGCCACCCAATAACAAAACTTCTTAATAAATCAAAACAATTACACACTATTACAAATACAAATTCAATCATTCCCTTCACTTCCGCGCTTTCAGTTCATTATATTCCCCTTTAAAAATTAATATCCAAATATTTAAATACCCCAGAACCATTAAATTAACCGCCATCATCATCAACAACTTCAACGACAACCATTCAAGATGATGTCCTCATGGAAATTCACAAAGAAACTGAAAGATTTTTCAAGATCTAAATCTCCAGCTGCTTCTCCTTCTCCTTCTCCTTCAACTTCCAATCAAAAAGAATCTTCAAATTCATTGGATTTACCTTCAGCGGAAACAAAACATTCAAATGAATTAGATAGAAGAAGTACTGTCACTCCTGATACAATAAATCAACATTTAAAAGTGGATTCAAATAATAATGGTGCTAATGGTGGTACCACTGATGCTTTAAAATCTTCAAATTCAAGTTCTCATACCGTTACTTCAAATAATAAATCTTCAAATTCTTTAAATCAACAAGTACAACAACAAGAAATACCTGAAAATAATAATTTCTTTAAACCTGGTTTATTAACTTTGAAAATATATAATGGGAATAATTTTAAAATCCCATTTGATATAAATAATGATAAATCTATATTATCAAAATTAAATCAAAATAATGATCAAAAACAAAATACTGATTTATTAATTTCAAAATTAAATCAATTAAATTTAAATGATGAAAAAATTCCAAGTGAATTTTCAAATGAATTAATACCTGCTTCTATTAAAATCCCACCTTCAAATAATAAAACTCCATTAATTTATTTTACATTAGAATTTGATAAAACAATTATATCAATTGAACCTGAATTTGGTTCTATCAAAAAACCTTATTTTAATAAAGTTTCAAATTTTGATGTAACAAAAATTTCAAATGAATTAAAATTTCAAATTTTTCTTAAAATTCCAAAAATTTTAAGTGGTTTAGATACTGAAGATATCTTAATAAGTTCTACAATTTTACCATTAAATTTTACCAAGACATATAATACTCCAATTAGAATTAAAAATCATGAAGTTTTAAAATTTAATAATGATTACCCAGAATGGTCTGAACAATTTAATGGTGATTTAATTATATCAATAGATTTTAAACCAAATGAAAATAAACATTTAACAATTGATGATTTTGATTTATTAAAAGTTATTGGTAAAGGCTCATTTGGTAAAGTTATGCAAGTTCGTAAAAAAGATTCCCAAAAAATTTATGCATTAAAAGCTATAAGAAAATCTCACATTGTTTCAAAATCTGAAGTTACTCATACTTTAGCTGAAAGAACTGTTTTAGCTCAAATTGATAATCCATTTATTGTTCCATTAAAATTTTCATTCCAATCACCTGAAAAATTATATTTTGTATTAAATTTTATTAATGGTGGTGAATTATTTTATCATTTACAAAAAGAAGGTAGATTTGAATTATCAAGAGCAAGATTTTATACATGTGAATTATTAATTGCATTAGAATGTCTGCATTCTTTTAATATAATTTATAGAGATTTAAAACCTGAAAATATCTTGTTAGATTATAAAGGTCATATCGCTCTTTGTGATTTTGGTCTTTGTAAATTAAATATGAAAAATGATGATAAAACTTCAACTTTTTGTGGTACTCCAGAATATTTAGCTCCAGAATTATTATTAGGTCAAGGTTATACTAAAAATGTTGATTGGTGGACTTTAGGTGTATTATTATATGAAATGTTGACAGGTCTGCCACCATATTATGATGAAGATGTACCAACAATGTACAGAAAAATCATGACAAATCCATTAAAATTCCCAGAAAATTTTGATAAAGATTGTAAAGATTTATTAATTCATCTTTTAAATAGAGATCCAACAAAAAGATTAGGTTGTAATGGTTCAGAAGAAATTAAAAAACATAAATTTTTCTCTAAAATTGATTGGAAAAAATTATATGATAAAAATTATTTACCACCTTTTAAACCTCCAGTTATTGATTCATTTGATACATCAAATTTTGATCAAGAATTTACAAAAGAAAAACCTGTTGATTCTGTATTAAATGATTATTTAAGTGATTCTGTTCAAAAACAATTTGGTGGTTGGACTTATGTTGGTACTGAACAATTAGGTCAAAGTAGATAATAATAATAACCCAGAGAAAAAAAGACTTTATATAAACTAAATTAACAACTACATTTATATTTTCAAAAATGTAACTCATCCATTATATTATCCAAAAATTAAAAAACATAAACATCCAGTGTTTTAATCATCCTTATTGATTTAATTTTATTTACCCAATTACAAAACAATTGTAAATCAAACATTGAGAAACTTGATATGTAAAAATCCATAAATCATTTAACTCCTTATTCAAAGATTCATGTTGAACTTCATTTGATCTTAATCCTTATCTTCATTTCAATTCATTCAACTAATCATCAATCATTCTTTAACCAAAGATTCACCAGTAGTAGTACCAACAGTCTTGATCGTTCCTGACGTCGTTCCTGTACTAGCAGTTGTAGCACTTGTAGTACTTGTACTATCAATTCCCTTCATCCCAATTTTAATCCCACCATTCAAACTTTCCAATTGTTTTTCAAATTCTTTAAATTCAAACATATGAACTTCAATAGAATCTAAAATTTCATCTTCAGCTTCATAATCATAATTTGAATCATTTGTACAACACTTAGTATCAATAGTTTCCAACAACTTCAATATCTTTAAATAAGAAAGTATATAATTTTTTTCAATTTTTTTATAATTTATAATTTTTGATAATGATCCTTTTATTTGATCTGTTTGTTTAGTTGTGGTTTTTGTTGTTGCATTTTGAAGTAATTTAATTTCTTGATCAAGTTTTGAACTATATGATTCCATATTTGATATTGTGAAATTATCTAATTTTGTTAGATGATTATTTGGATGGATCATATATGTTAAATTCATTTTGATATTGTCTAATTCTTTTGTTATTGTATTGTATGTATCGAGTTGTAAGTGAAATTTTTATAGGAATTATTCAAGTATTTATAGGATTGCTATAAGGGCTTATAAAATTGCGTTGTTAAATGAGACATAAAAAAGTTTGAATAAATAATAATTATATGCGTACTTTCAAGAGAAGTTTAAAAAATTTAACAATAAGGCACAGTTTCAAATAAGGTGATTATAAATGAAATATGAATTTAGTAATGGCTCATGTTTATTCGTGGTTATTGATTCATTGGTTATCCGATATTTGACACATAGAGATCTATGACAAAAACTAAAACTACATGATCGAGCAAGCAAGAACCAAAACTAATCCTTACTAGACTAAACAATAAGAAGCAGATTAATTATTCAAAGAACAATTCAATCCAATTGTTTACAAATATTGCTAAAATTTAATGAGTATAATTGATTGCTTCGGTTCTAAAGGAATGTAACTACTAACTAATTTATGCTTATACACCTTGATTTAAAAGGAAAGTACTAGATCGGGGTAAACAGGGGCACTCAAATAATCTCCAAACTTTTTGCATAATTTCAATTTGTAAATCATTCATTTTTGAAAGTTTAATTTCATATGATTAATTACTTATATAAGATCAGATCATTTTGAAGTTTTAAAGTTTATGAGTATTGAAGTTTGTGATTCTAGATCTTTATACGGGCTGATTATGTAAGAGATTAGTAATGTATATAAGCTAATTTATCTATCAAAGAATAAAACATTGAATTGAATCAATATAAGTTGAATTAAAAATTGTTGACTTGTAAGAATGGGAAAATAAATGGGTATATGTAAGGGTATGTCTTTTCAATAAAATTCTGGTTCATTAAAAGTTTTTAAACAAGCTTCATATTCTTTTAATGTAAAACTTGCAAGGAAACAATAACTACCATCACAATCATTAGTACCAATACATTGTGGAACATATGGACTAAATCTTCTTTTAAAATTATTATAAGTTTGAGCAATTTCTGTGGATGAATTAACTCCACTAGCAACTCTATGCCAAAAAGTTGCATTTAATGGTGAAGTTTCAGGCCATTCATTAACAACATCTGAATAAGATTCACGAGCTGAATATTCAAATTCCCAATTTGGTTCTTCTGATTCATTATAAAAAGTTTCATTTAATTTTGTATAATAATTAAATGAATTCATAACACTATGAGTCTTTGTATCAACGGTATAATATCTCCATGATGGATTATTATCAGTTAATGGTGTAACAGCTTGTGAAATCCATGCCATATTAACTGCATTTTCTTCAGTTTTTTCCAAAACATCACCATCATATAAAATATTAAATTGATCCATATGTGTATGACCAAAGAAAATACCTGCAATAGTTGAAGGTGAAAATCTCTTGACAATTTGTTTGAAAACTTCAGCAGGAATAGGTAAAGCTTCTTGAACAAATGGAATATGTGCAATAATCCAAACTCTTTGATCTTTGCTTTCAGAATCAATTAATTCATCAATTAAGAATTGAAATTGACCAAATGAATCAACATCTGTTGCATTCCAATAATTATATAAATTTGATGCATAATAAGCATTTGAATTTAATGCAATAACTTTTAAATTTGTTGTAGTTTCCACTGCAAACCCTGTATAATGTTCTCTTGCATATCTAGCAGTTGAACCATTAATCCATTCATAATCTTCCCATAAATCACCCATTAATTCAGCGTTCCAATCCAAAATATTACCAAACCCTGATTTTTCTTGAGCTAATTGTGCATAAGGATAAGTATCATGATTACCTAAAACTGGATAAACTGGAATATTTTTCAACGTGGTTTTAATATCTCTAAAAATATATTCTTCAGATTTAATAATTTTTTCATAATCTAAATGATAATCTTCATCATGATCAACTAAATCACCTGTAAAGATTGAAAATTTAAAATCTAAACCTAATTCTTCTTGATATTTAGCAACGGATTTTAATGAACTATTAATTAAAACTTCTGGTGCATCACAATTATAATGACCAAATGTATTTGCTGGGAACCATTTTGTTGAATTAGAAATATCAATTGAATCACCATGTTCTAATTCAAAATCTTGATCATACCAAGCTGGTGTATAAGATAAATTATTGATTTGATCTTGAGTTAAATTAGCAGTAAAATCATAACCTTCAGGAATTTCAAATTTATTATAATTATGATCTGTACAACACATATATTGAGAGCAATTAGCTTCAGATCCAATACTATAATCTAATTGAATATGGAAATCTGAAATATGTAAAACATTATAAGTTTCATTTGATGGTTCTGGTGCAATTTTATGTTTATCCTGTTTTTCAGGCCAATATGATGACATATCAATTTTTGGAGTTTCTGGTAATGGACAATGTTTATCTGATTGATAATGACAATATAATTGACCATCATAAGAATTTGGATCCATTAAAGTCAATAAGTTTGCAAAATTTGTACCTGATGTAGCATTTAAAACAGTATTTCTACCATAAGTCATTTTACATGTAGTTTCATCAGTAACTTTATTATCAATACACCATTTTGTAAAAATTGGGAAAATTAAATTTGGTTTAGTTAATGCAATTGATTTACCTAATTGTAATCTTTCAATACATTTTTCACATTTTGTTGAATTTGTTGAATTAAATTGATCAATTGTTGTTAATTGATGAGCAAATTCATAAATTAATTTTTCATCACTTGGTGAATAATTTGTTGTTTCTAATGCAGTTTCTAAATTAAATAATGGAACCGCAGAAACTAATGTAGCTAATGAGCCAACCAAGATAGTTGAAAGCTTCATGATGATGATCTCTTGGCTTTTGATGTGTACCTGATGACAATGATCCTCAGTAAATATTTTTGATACATCTTGGTTTTATTTATACTCATGAAATTATTATTGTAGGTCTTCAGCTACCCCTATCATGCTTAGCCGTTCTTTATTCTTATATTGTCTCATTTGAGCTTTGACGCTGCAACCATAATTAATTGATTGAATAGTATACCGTCTCCATGCTAAAGTTCTTACTTTTGATAATTCCAAAGAACGTGGGTATAATTTTCAACAGTTTCTTATCGTAATTTTTTTTTTTTCACTTTCTCGGAGTTGAATTAAATTTTAAAGAGCCAAGAATGAAAGCTTTTCAAACGGTTAAATTAAATTAAATAAATATGTGATGAAAAGATCCATGTTTTTGTCATGTTCACCTTGATGTCTTGAAACCCATTAGAAACTTCAGTTGGTTAACCTCTCAAGAAGTTAAATCTGATTGTTGGGGGAATCTTTCCAAACGTTCGTAAATCACCGGTGAAGATTTTCAATAGAAGCACATGCTCATACAAATTAATAAACGCTGCTTAGACAATAACACAATGGCCAATCAATTTAACTTACAGAGGATGTATTACTGCTTTGAGATGAGATGATACTACAATAGGATTATAAACGTGGATTATTGATGTAGTACTTAATAAGAGGCATCGGTTTAGGTGGTCAAGTTTATGGTCCGAAAAGAACGTCGTTTATTCCTGATGTCTGACTCTCAAAGATTCTGGCCAGAGTATAGTTGAGGTAGATCAGCCTTCAAATCTTTTAACATTCAATTAATTAATTACACCTCTCAACTTTTGTCTGTTTTTAAGTACGTTATATTAACTTAAAAGTCAGTATACATATCAGGGTATAAATTTTACTACCAATTACCTAATTATTCCGACTATAATGAGTCAATACACATCCAATATGGACATAGCATTTCGATTATTTCAATTTTCCAAAGTAGAGTTAGATATCATGTGGTTATTGAAAATATTTAATTATCGAGATCTCATTCGACTAGTCTTTTCAGCTTGAAGTACAACTTACAAGCTATATCGTCGGGATTCGGAAATAGCACTAAACCGAATCTTCCGGGACTATCACAATCTTTAAATTTATAACTTACAGAGTTTGTAGGGTGATATATAAAGTTTATTATATTATTATTATCAATAAATTACTCTCTATAAGATGATTCTATTTTAAACTCGTTTTAGCGGGTTTGAAGTTTTAGTTATTTTGGACTATATTTTGCATTTTGATTCAAAATTAAAATTTTGGAGATCAATAAATTTTCTGAATTGAAAAATTACCAAAATTTCAAACCTTGATTAGAGCTTCAAAATACATATATAAGTAAAACATTGATAAAACTGAATATATTTATCTAAATATTGTATAAATATCACAATTATAACATGAAAGATTTTGATATTTAAATATTGGTATATTAACAATTCCGGAATTTTTACCCCGGATCATTTTAATTACTTTTATATAAATTTAAATTAAGCGCCAAATTCATTTATCAAAAGAGTTCATGAAACCAACCTAGGATTAACCCTGAAAGAAGCTCAATATCTGATCAATTCAACTCAAAATGTTTGATGATACCTTCAATTGACGGTGCAGAATGGCCAAAAAATCAACAGATCAAATTCGAACTAACAACTTCTAGATTTTAGATAAAGGATTACATTTGTTTACCATTATTAAAGACATGGCGCCTAATTCAATTATTCAAGAACCAAAGATTAAAGAAGAGAAAACAACAGATGTTAAACCTAAAAAGCAAGTAAAGATCAAAGAAGAACCTATTAGATTTGGTAAATCACCAACTTCAAAAGATAGAATTCAAAAACGTCCAATCATTCCAATCACACCAAATGAAAAGATTTTAAAACATCCTCCAAATTTGAAATCAATTGATAATTTAAACATTAATAGGTTTATCATTCCAACAAAGGATGAACTGTCTGAAGAAGAGACTCCAACAAAAGCTTCTGGTTCTAAAAGACATAATGTTGATCATTTAGGGAAAGGTAAAGAATCTGAAGGCATTTCAAATAAGCGCCATAAGCAACAACAACATACTTCACATCAACAATCCATTACACCAAAGCCAAGTTCAATTCCTCAGAAAATTTCTGCTTCTAGTGTTACTCCTCAGTCTGTTGGGAAGAAACAGTCATCTCCATTGATTATGAATGAACCTTATAAACCAATCACTAAACCACCAAAGTTCCAATCATTTGAAGAATCAATCATTTTAAATGATCCAAAAGATGATATAAATTTTGATAAACTTTTTCAAAACGTTGATGATGAAGTCCAAAAGGGGAAATATATTGATTATGGTTCTAAATCATTTGATGATTGGTGTGAAACTGGTATTAAATTAACAAATATTCAATATGGAATTGTTAAAAAAGTTATTACAAGTAGAAATAAATTAAATTTAAAATTTGGAATGATTTTAAAATTAATTAATAAAAATGGTGAATCTTTAGAAAAAGAAGATGTTGTTTTAAAAGAAAAAATGAAAAGATTACAAAATTTAGGTGAAGAAATTAGAAATTTTATCAAGTGAAAATAATGTATTCATATGAGAATTTTGTTTTTATCTAGCTCAACTAATACACATTATATTATTATATATAAAATGTTTCTACCAAGTTCAAATAGATCATACTAATTGTATTCATGTATATCTCAACATGCTCTTACAAAACTAGTTTTAAAATTAAAAATCATACATTTTAAGTCACAATTGATTTTTTATTCAATATACCTAGCAGCTGTCACATGTTCCACTTCTTTTCCCATTTGCATCAAATCCAAAAAGACAATTCTTACAGCGTATTGAATTGGTGTATCATCAGCTTCACTAATTCTTTTCAAAATCGTACCTTTATAATTCTTGATAATTGTTTCAACTTCATTTGGATCAACGTACTTTTCTTGATCAAAAGATAGAACAACATTTACATAACCAGGGTCTTCTTCGTCAGAGGATTCAGAGGATTCAGAGTTGTCAGACATTTTGTAGTAGGTCAATTTCGTATTAAACGCTTGACCATGATTAAAAATAAGGAGTGGAAACAACTTCTAGGAGGGATTCCTTTATTTTATATCAGTACAAGATGTGCCCTGTAAAAGTTAAAATTAAACAATATACAAGAATGAAACTTAGATTTTTTTGACTAATGAATATGAATAAAAAGTGTATATCAGTTAAATGTGATAAAGTATATGAATCAAAGACTATTTTGTATATGACCCATCTAATTGATCAGCTTTCGTACAATTATAAGATGTAATAAACTTTGATCTGAATTCAATTTTTATTACCCCATACTGCATGAATACACAGAGATAACAATTAAACAAAGTGAATATATTATAAATTTTATATACACCTTTAGTTTGAAGAATCTGGATTATAATCTGAACATTTTTGTTAACTATTTATACCACTAACATTAAATAATACCAACTAGATTTATTTGATAGTAATAGATCAATCAAGGTCTGATTGACTCAACTATCATCAAGATGCAAGCTCCTCAAAACTCTTCAAACTCTTCAACTGCTTCAACATAATCAATTTCTTTTAAAATTTTGTAAAGATCTCTGTCATCATCATCTTCTCGTTCAAACCTTAAAATTAACACCCATAGATCATCAATGAAATCTTGTTTAATGACATCACCTCCTTCAATTCGTTCTTGAATATTTTCAGGGTAGAAGCTATCGATATCTTCAATTTCTTTGCTTACGAAAACAGTATAAGCTTCTATCATGATTTTAATAATTATAATCTATGGAATACTATTCATGAATTTGAAAAACGGAAGTGAGATTATGACTTATTTATATAAAAATTGAATGAAAAAGTGTAGATCATTTTATAAGAACAATTGCTATCATGGGTGATTATGTTAAAACTATATAACACCATCATAAAAGCCAAAAATCGTATATTTTTTCACAGAACTTAAAATATTACATACTTTGCTTTGCTAAGATCGATATCTATATCATATTCATACGCAGAGTGTTATTATATAAGAGATTTGTTATATGGTGATACTCTCGTTCATTAAACAATCATGATTTTCGCGTTTTTTTCTATACAAAGCTTTAAAAAGTATTAAAAAATTATTGACTTGGGCTTTTACTATATATGTATTTGGTTCAAGATGAACCAATATCGATTCCTAGAAAGGCTTTTCCTTACTCACTCCATTCATCCAATGAGACAGAATAACGTTTAGAAGGGTTCTGACTTATTTTCTATAACACCACTAAGTTTTTGATTTCGTTTCGAACCCCGCTATAGGTGTGGACTATAGGACTATACACTAGTTGTTCTACTTGATAATCATTGATTTTTACTTATAACAAGATCAATCAGAAAAGTAGAATAAACTGGTACCAAATAAGTACTTTGTTATTATATTAGTTGTTCATGTTGAAAAAAATATGACACTAGTATATGAATATACAATACTATAATCATTTTTCTAAAAAGATCTTGTAGTAAGATATACCAAATTCCAAGTCATGGTCGATCCCTAAATAATGATTGTTCATTGATATACTCAAAGAAACCGTCATAGGTATTTGATACCATACATAATCTTCACAGAATTGAAAGTCATCCATACCCTTCTTTTTCTTTAAACTAAAGTAATCTGTAATATGTCAACGTTTATATAAAAGTATTTATAAAGCTGACATGGTTGTAAAATAGGCACTACTTGTTCATTTAACGGAGCGATGATGGAAAGTGAAAATCAATTTGTGAAGAACTTTACTCAAAGATCAATTTAATTATAGATGATGATTATATACATATTCAATGATTTTATGATTGAGAGGAATTTTGTTAATATAGTACATCAAGTTTCGCGTTTTTTTCTACACGCTTTAAAATTAAATTTAAAATTTATTGAGTTCAACAAGTTCTATTTATTGTTTGAATTGGAAGAAGAAGATAATTATCCCTAAAAAGCAACTACCTGATTGGCTCCATTCATCTAAACGTTTGATAACTACTGAAAAAATTCAAAGGGGTACGTCTTTGATTTTGTGCAAAGGTTAATGTGCTCAGTGCTAAGTAGAATAAATTGGTACCCAGTACCCATACCTTTTTAGTTTGTTATATGACAAAAATCAATGAGGAAAGGTACATAGTACTTATACACATTTCTAGTTTGTTAGTATATCAGCTGTTCATGTTGAAACATATATGACACTATATAAATACACATAACTATAATCATATTTTCCAAGGCAAATCTTGTAGCAATAGTTCTACATCTTAACTCTTTATAACAACAATATACATTTAGAATAAAAACATACAAAACTAAAATTATAACTAAAAGACTTGTATATTTTCAAGAAACAAAATTATTTAATTAATAAATTTAGTTTCTTCTTTTGAAACGACGTTCTGGAGCTCTTTGAGATGAAACTGAGACAACAGATAAAGGAATTTTGAAACCTAAAGTTTTAACTAAATCAGCAGTTTGTTGATCAACTTCTAATTGGTTTTTAGTGTTTGATAAATCTAAAGCAGAAACTTCTGGAACATATTGATCTTTTCTTTCACGTTCTTCTTCTTGTAATTTGAAAGAAATACCTCTAACTGGACCTTTTTGAATACGTTTCATTAAATGAGTGGTGTAACCAGCAATTTTGTTTCTAAGACGTTTTGATGGAATAGTAGCAATTTCAGTAGCTAAACGTTTGTTGGTTTCAAAATCCAAAGTTAATTTTGGATAATAACGTTCGATAAGAACTTTTGAGGCTCTTTTGACGGTTTTAGTTCTAACTCTACCCTGTTTGTAAATTGTTAGTATATTGATTCCATTATAATAGTTCTTTCAAAGTCTTTGGATATGAATCAAAGTTTAAGGGATCTTTTAAACGTATGTTATCTCTTTCAATAATCTAATAATATCTTAATTCTTCATAATTCATTTGTAATTATTCATTTCTATGATACATATATGATTGATTCTTTTCATAATTGTACTCGGTTTGATAATATCTTGATCTATATTCACTTTTTTTTCACTTAATCAAACAATAAAATTGAATTAATAAAAACATTGACAATAATCCTTCAACATAAAGTTCCATCTTAATACATCTATAATCTTTGATTCTCTTCAACATGATCCATATCCTAACTTCATGAGTGTATCATGAACATACCATTTTGATTAATTATTACTATAAGGTCCTGTTATATTTCCAAAAGCTAATAGTAAAACTACTTAATTGATAAATTCAAATAATCTTTTTTTCAAAAACCTAATGCCCACCGAATGTGTTTGTATGGAGATTATGTCAGTGCTTACGCGAGAATTCAGTGAGTGCGACTTTGAAAATTGTTTGGCGTGTGTTTGCTGATTTTTTTGTGAGGATTTGGGAGTTTTGGAGTGCGCGATGCAAGAAAAACTAGATAATCAAATGGTGTGTGGGTGTAATGAAGTATTAGTCACTTTAATGTCTGGGTGTATGGAACTATAGCCCTATAATGAGATCAGGTGACATTAAATCTCAGGGTTAACACGCGAATTTATAATTCCACCATAATTTCAATTTAAACTCCCGTTGGAAAATTGAAATGGAAATAATCGTGATTATCAACAATCGAGATACGTAATATTGAAACATTCATGCACCTTTAGAATCAAAACAATTTTCACATAATCATAAAATTATTTAGTGATACCATATTATACAACACATAACATTTATCTCACTCTTTTAATTCAATTACATTACATTTGCCACTTAATCAATAAACACACAAACACCTAAACACAGATATAAACAAAAGATATATACATATACATAATGTCAAGTGGATTCCATTGTGATGTCTGTGCATCAGATTGTACCAATAGAGTACGCATATCATGTGCCATATGTCCAGAATATGATCTTTGTGTACCATGTTTTGCAAGTGGTGCTTCATCAAATAATCATAAACCTTATCATGATTATAAAGTTATAGAAACAAATTCATTTCCAATATTTGATCCTGATTGGGGTGCTGATGAAGAATTAGCTTTGATTCAAGGCTCACAATCTCTGGGATTGGGGAATTGGCAAGATGTTGCAGAACATATTGGTGGACGTTCCAAAGAGGAAGTTGCTAAACATTATGAAGATATTTATTTAAATTCAAATGAATATCCAATACCTGAAATGGATAAAGATTTTAGTAATATAACATCAACTGAAATGTCCAAAAAGAAGAAAAGAAGACTGGATGAAAGAAGAAATGCTCCATTACCACCACCAAGGAAACCAACTGCCTCAGTACCATTATGTCATGAAGTTCAAGGTTTTATGCCTGGTAGATTAGAATTTGAACATGAATTTGAAAATGATGCAGAATTAACTGTTAAAGATATGGTTTTCGAACCTGATGATTTAACATCAGATATTGAATTAAAATTAGCAATTATTGATATTTATAATTCAAGATTAACAACAAGAGCTGAAAAGAAAAGATTATTATTTGATAATAATTTATTAGAATATAGGAAAAATGCAAGTTTAGATAAAAAAAGAACTAAAGAGGAAAGAGAATTATTTAATAAGATTAAAGCATATGCAAGAGTTATGAGTCCAAAAGATTTTGAAGATTTTTCAAAAGATATGTTAACAGAATTACATTGTAGAGTTCGTATACAACAATTACAAGAATGGAGGAAAAATGGTATAACATCAATTGAAAGTGGGAATAAATTTGAAAAAGATAAATCTCAAAGAATTGCTAATTTACAAAGATATGGTTATACAAATACAAATAGTTCAAGACATACAGTTAATTCATTACAACATTCAACATCAAGATCAAGAACTCCAATGAATGGAATTAATGAAGTTAAACGTAAAGCATTAACACATTCTGATATTCAACATTCAAATGATTTTAATTTATTAAATCAAGATGAACAAGATTTATGTATTTCATTAAAAATTTTACCAAAACCTTATATTGCCATTAAAGAAACTTTATTTAGAGAAAGTTTAAGAACTGGTGGTATCATAAAGAAGAAAACTTGTAAAGAATTATTAAATATTGATCCAAGTAAAGCAAATAGAATATTTGAATTTTTCCGTCAACAAAATTGGTTATAAATATATGGACTACAAGTTAATATATAGCAAAAATCATTTATTTTTTTTTATTTAAAAGGATCTTCTTTGTAGAAAATGGGTTTTAAAATTAATTATCTATCATAGCACATCAATTATATATTAGCACAGCAGCAAAAGCATCAAAAGCAACAGCAAGTTTGTATATAGCAACTTCATTAGGTTCTCAAATAACATCGACCAGCAAATGTTAAAATGAAGGTTTTGGAGGTTGATCAACATTAATAGAACTATATTGTTGAATAAAATCTTTATATTCTTTATTATTTTTTTCATCAATAAAAGTAAATAAAATTTTTGATAAAAATAAAGGAATTGATTTTAATTCAGGTTCAGATTTATCATATAAATCAACTAAAGGATATGGAGCAAATGATTTATAAAAATTTGGATATGATAATTTTCTTGTTTTTGGTAAATCAACATAAACTAATTTAATCAATTCTTTTGGTCTTGTAACATGACGTGGTAAATATGGATAAACAAATGGTTTTAAATCAGTTCTCCACCATCTTGCTATTGTTTCACCAATTGTTAAAGGTTCTTGAACAGTAGCCGCCGAACCATTAGTGGCGCCATTAGTGGTACCATTGGCATCACCATTACCATTCTCAGCGGCTAATTCTTCTTCATCAAATAACTCTTTCAAGATTCTTTCAGCACCTGTTTTTTCATCTTCATCATGATTTAAATAACCGCCAGGAACAATCAATTGATTATGTTCTTTTAATAAAAGGACAGCAGGCTCTTTTTCACCACCAACAACAATTAAGAATTGTAAAAAACGTCTTGTACCATAAAAATCATTATATTTTTTCAAATTCTTAAAATATAATAAATTATTCGGAATTAAATCACTCTTATAAGTTTTTCTCTTGTATTGTTTTGATTCTTTTAATGCTTCTTTTTCAGCTTCATCTTCTTTTAATTCATGATCTTTTAAAGGTTGATAAGATTTTTGAGTTAATGTATAATTGGACAATGGATAAATCTTTTTTTCAATTGATAATCCTTCTTGGAAAGGTTCAATGGCTCTTGGTGGCGCTGATGGTTTGGTATATGTGATTTTTCTTTTCTTGCGATCTTTTGGTTCTTTTGACTCCCTGGAGTCCCTTGAATCCTTTGAAGTCCCTGATTTCTCTGAATTGACAGAGTTGACGTTGCTTGCGTCTTGTGGAGGGATGTTTTCCTTGTCAGTTGTCGCAATTGGAGCAGTTGAAGTGGCAGTTGACATTGCAGTTGATCTTGTAGTTGATGCTTTCTTGATCCTTTTCAATGGTTGATTTGAAATTTATAGGAATTCTTCTTTTTATATATGGAAATTAAAACGATCAATCAGAAATTGAAAATTCGCGTATACCTAATAAAATGTTGAAAACGTCAAAATCAGATCAAAATAACAACTAAACAACAACTAAAATCACTAGAAATAACCAAAAGATGAAGTTAGTATACTTACTATCACTCCTACCATTCACAGTGGCAGAAGTCTTTCCACAAACCAAAAACTCCAAATCACCAACAGTCATCCCATTCCAAAAAGGTGAATCATTACCAATTTCATGTATATCAAGAAATATCGATAATGGTGAACATAAATTTGACGAAAAAGATAATATCATATATGAATCATTCCCAGTATGTCAAGAAACTGGTGAACCTTTTACATTAAAATATGGTGAATCTGGAGTTAAAAATTGTACAATCACATTAACTGATGAAATTTATCATCTTTTCCAATTATATATTCATCAAGATGTACCATTTTCATGTCGTTTACCATATTCCAAGAATAAAGATGGAATTTCTATACCATTAACTTTAAATTTTAGAGGTATTATTGAAACTAGTCATTTAGATATTGATACTACAATGAATATCTTGGTTCATAGTGGAGGTGAACAAGGTTCAATTATAAGTTCAATTGGTTATAGTGCTGGTGCTAATGTATCAAGATATATTATTGGAGATTCAATGCCAATAAGGTTTCATATTAATTGGTTTGATGAATATCATTTATCAAATGATTTAGGACATTTTGATTTAAGTTTAGGTTATGATTTTAATATAATTGTTTATATTATAATTGGTGTTGCTTTAATTTCTGGATTATTAGTTTATGCTTTGATGTATGGTGTTTTCAATAAGAAATTGATTAAAGAATTAGGTTATAAACCTGGATATTCTACAGAATTAGGTATTGATAAAAGAGATTAGAAGTCTATATAGTTTATAATTTTTTTATAATTGAATGTAAAATTTGTTTAATATTTTCATCTTCAATTTCATCATTTTGTAAGAAATTTTCAATTAAGTATGATGAAAATTTTAATTTTAATTGAGATTTATCATCATTTGAATTTAATTTCCCCTTATATGCAATGAATTTCTTTGTAGAAATTTGTAAATTATCAATGAAATTTTCAGAATTTATAGATAAATTTCTTAAAGGTAATGTAATATCCAAGATTAAAACATCTAATTCATTATTAAAATTGTTTAACAAATAATTAACAACATGACCAACCAAATATTCACGATTTAAATCTTCAAATTTATCAAAAATTTTCAAAAATTCTTTAGAAATATCATATTTAAATTCAAATTCTGATTGAAATGTTGAAGTTTTCAATTTAGATAAAGTTTCAATACAAATATCAAAAATTGTTAAAGCAACATCACCTTTTAAAGCAGGGTTTGTTTCAGGATTACCCAACATATTTAAATCAGCATCAGGTAATGAATTTAATTGAGTTTTCAATTCATCATTTGAAATATTATCATAATTTGATAATTGAATTAAATCACTATGTTCATCATTTTCTAATTGTTCTTTAGATGCTAATTTTTCAGATTTTTCATGTTCATATTGTTGTTTTTCTGTAATTAACCCTAAAATTTTTCTTCTATTAATTAATTTATTAATATAAGATAATTCAAATATGGTATAACTTAACCATAATTTTTTGGAATCTTTATTGAATCTTAAACCTTTTTGGAATAAAATACGTGCATTTTTAGCACTACCAACATATTCATATTCAAAATTTGCAGCACTAATCCAAGAATTTATTGAAGTTGGATGTAATTGTAATAAATTTGTATAAATTTTATAAATTTTCTTGAATAATTTTTGCTCTTTGGCAAATTGTAATAAAGTTTCCCATAATTGGAATTCATTTGGAAATTTTTGAACACCACGATCTAAAATAAATAAAATTCTACGTTCTGATGCCCAATCAGAAATTGATGGTTTTGTATTAATTAATCCAACAGATGATAATCTATTATAACGTTTTTTTCTTAATTTTTCTAAATTTTTTTCAAAATCAACATATTTCAAATAATCTCTTGCTTTTGAACCTCTTGAATTTATACGATGTTCAAAATCTGTTCTTCTTCTCATAATCATTGTAATTTCATTTTTTTCAAATAAACCTTTTTTAATTAAATCTTCCAATTCTGGAACAGACTATGGTATGTGTTAGTTTGAAAATCTTAAATCAATGTTATCTTATTATTTCACTTACCTGTTCCAAATAGTATCTTGTTTTAGCAGACATTATGGATTAATTTAAAAAAGGAACTAAATCAACAAGCTCTTTAATACCTTTGATATATTTCACTATCTATATAAAAATTTTCTAATACTAATGAATTCGCGGAATATCAAACGAAGCTCATCGCTTATGTAATTCCAGTAAAATTAACTCTGTTTAATTGGGAGTAAGTAAACACCAGGGAAGGTAATGGAATTGAAAGTTTTAATAGAAATGGTTAATAAATATTTAAAACTACACTGATGCTAGTTATATACACCCATCAATAATATGATATTTCACCTAAAATGAATTTGACTCACGAGTATTTCATGAGTATTCTGCGAGTCAATGCGAGTCAAAGTCGGAAATTCATACAATGTCACGTTTTCAATCATGTGATAGTCGGATGTGTTCTTGAGCTTCAATGTGTCCCCTTTATCAATTATTCTTTTTAGTTGAAACTTGAGACTTGAGACAGTGAATATCCTTGAAGAAGGTGAATCAAGGGTAGTTACATTGAATTGAATGTTTAAGTTGGTGAATAGTAACTAGTAAATACTATTGAGGGCAGACCTACTCTTCTTTTTGAATGTACTTTCCATGAAGCATCAATAGTCTGTTACTATAGATTAACTAATTGTAGTTCAACTTCCAACTTCCAACTTCCTATATAAGCTTAGGCCCACATTCTGCATGATTGTTTTCACGGAAGCCTAAACGAATTTAGTGGATGAACAAAGCAAGGACAATCAATAACTAGATATACTATACTATTATACTATATATAGACAGTATACTATAACCACTGAATGCACAATAGATACGATCTACAACCCCATACTTAATCACCCACTTTCACTACTTATTCAAGTCAATTGTTCTCTTTTAAAAGTAGCAGTTTTTAGTTTTTACCCCAGTCGCTTTTCCTTATTCGCTGATGCTTTTTTATTTTTTCATTGTTTATTGTTGATCATTCGCAGTGACACATAGGGTGCTAGGGCCACGGGCAGGGGTGCTCTAGGAAGAGTACTAGGTGGCGTAGGCAGAAGGTAGACAGACATTAGACAAGAATAGACAGGAGTGGTTCCAGGCGGAGAGTGTAATTGGGCTAAGACAATTGCTTAATTTTTAAAAAATACATACCATTTCTGGGCGGCTATGAAAAATATATAAACAATGGATTTGCCGCCATTCTATTGTTTAAACCATTTACTAATTTGTTATTAGAAAAGTAATCAAGTTGCTAGAAAAGTGGCTAATCATGTATTCTATCAATCATCAACTATTCAACCAGGACATCTTCAACAAGCATCGGAATAATCATGACCAAGAAGAAGATCCTCCAGGAATTATAGGGAATATTGCTGGTGATGTTTCAGGTGTAATTGACCCTCCTTCAACTTCAAGTTCAACTTCAACTGGCGCTGGTGGTAATCAAACAGGAGGTATTGGTTCTTTAAATCAATATCCAAGAAAAAATTCTATATTTGATCATGCTAATTTCCAAATGACTTCTCCAACTTCAAAATATTCTTCAATAGATGGTAATAATTTTAATAATTCTTTAACCAAGAGTTTATCTATGAATAATTCTGATGATCCTTTTGAACTGAATTCAAGTATTTGGAATTCAAATAATCAACAACAACAACAACAACAAGGTCATCAAACTACCCAAGCTGCTCCTCAAGGTCAAAAATTTCATTCAATTTCTGCTTCTTCAACTTCCCCAGGTTTCAATTTGAATTCTCAAATTGGTGTTAATCAAAGAAGAGCTTCTTATAATGATTATATTCAACCAAATCAACAAAAATTCAATTCAAATTACACTATTTGGTCAAATAATAACAGTCTTGATGAATATACAACTAATTTAATGTTGCAGCATCAAGCTCAACAACAGGCACAGCAACAAGCACAACAACAACAACAATTTCAATTTCAACAACAATTCCATGGTGATTCTGGATTTTTATTATCTCCAAGACGTGATTCTTATAATTCAAACTCTTTAGATTCTCCAGGTTTTTTACCACAATCTTTAATTAATCAAAATTCAAATCAAGGTTCTTTTGATTTAGATGAACAATTTCAAAATACAAATTTAGGTCAACAACAACATCAACAACATCAACAACATCAACATCAACAAATTAATGAAACTACTCCATTATATACAAATGCTTATCAATCTGTTGATTTTTATTTCACAAATGATTATTATAATCGTGTTTCAATTAAAGATTATTCAATTGAAGAAATGAATTCAACTTTAGAAAAATTGGTTTCTTCAGGTATTAAAAATGCTCAATTACCAAGATTTTCTGGTTCTTCATTACCAAGTACTCAATTAATCTTAATTGCATTTAAAGCTGGTAGAGTTGATGTTTTTTATTTACCTGATAATTCACCATTAATCTTGAAAATTGGTGATTTAGTTGTTGTTGAAGCTGATCGTGGTCAAGATTTAGGTAAAATTGTTAAAAAAGATGTTTCCATAGATGAAGCTAGATTATTAAAGTATTTACAACATCAAGAACAACAAGCTGCTTTAGCTTCATTTGATCAATCCGGTTCTGTTTCAAGTTCAAATGGATTAAACTCTTCACCACCACCAACTTCATTAACTCAAGATTCTGTTTCACCACCTCCAACTTCATCATCACAACAACAACAAAATTCATCAAATGTACCAACTTTACATTTCCCAAAACCAATTGTTCGTTTTGCAATGCCTCAAGAAGTTTATCAAATTGTTAATAAACAAAATGATGAAGAAAAGGCTAAAAAAATTTGTCAATTAAAAATTTCTTCATCAAATTTATTAATGAATGTTATTGATGCAGAATATCAATGGGATCGTCGTAAATTAACATTTTATTATAATGCAATTCATAGAATTGATTTTAGAGATTTAGTTAGAGAATTATTTAGAATTTATAAAACAAGAATTTGGATGTGTGCAGTTGGTTCTGATGTTAAAGATAATTCTCAACAACAAGTTTCACAAAACCAAACAGCTACAGCTATACCATCATCAGATATCAATGGATTGAATCATGGTTTTAATTGGATGGATAAAAGAGATGTTAATATGTTTATTCCAAGACAATTTAATGATCAGGGAAATTAAGATTCAAACAAATCAACATTACAACTCAACTATTGTATATATATCATATTACTAGAATTTACAATTAGAATTACAAACTGGGGTCAATTTTAAAAAACATATACACGGGGGTTTATTAACAAACAAAGGATTTTTATACAATTTGCTATTTACTTTACTTATTATTATTACTTGCTTTTTATTTTTTATATTATATATAAATATTTGCTTTATGGGATCATGGATATACATTAGATTTTTACAAATATAAATTCAAAACAAAACAAAATTACTTAAAACACATATTGCAAATATGTGAACAAAAAAACTATACAAATATTATGATGATGATTATGACTTTTATTTAATTTTTTATGACACACACACATATATGACATGAGATCTGGATTTTATGTATTATGCAAATATATATATTAGACTTTTTATTTATATTATATTATACATGTTTATATTACTTGACGTTTTTTTGGAAAATGTTTGTGCAGAATTGTATATATAAGTTATAACTACTATATATTCCTATGATGTCTAATTATGCCTGATAATTACGATTAATACGATCACAAAACATTAACAATATTACACCACGAATAGACATCAATTCTAAGATTTAAATCCCAGGTGAAATAATCCAATAAACGCACAATTAGCGTTAATCTTTGTGTTAAGTACTCCCCATATACTGTGTTCAGTCGCCATAATGAAAAGTACAGGAAAGGTTTGCGATAACCAGATATAATACTACTAAATGTATATGGTATAGGCTAAACTCTCTCCTCTTAAAACGACTTGTATCATTGAACTGATGATGTGTGCTTGGCAGGATATGCTCCTTGAAGGATAAACTAAATATTCATATTATGTGAATTGCTTCTTCACATTAATAATTGTTAAAATTCGATTAAGGAAATACAGCGCTTAAATTATAAACAACATCATATCACAGCGGTTAACCTAAGGATGATGATGAGTGTAATAATGAATATTGAAGTGTCAACATAAAAGAGCTCTTAATGAAATTTTCAATATTATATGTTTTCAATATGTGTAAATTCAATTAAGGTTTAGATCGCACAAATTCAATTAAACTAGTGGCGCCTGATTTTATAAATACTTGTATATTTCAACAATTATATATTTATGTTTTGATCAAGTCTAATTACTAGTAGCTGTACTGCTTTCATTGAACATTTAATTCATCAATATGTCAAACGTCCATACACAATCCCAATTACCAGTGACCAATGTTGCAACCAATGATCAAGCTCCTGATTTTTATTTGAAAATTCATGATGAATATAAAAAAACAAAGTATGGGAAAGAAATTCATCAAACAAATTTAATCATAGAATTTTACAAATACTTAGTTAGAAATCCTGAAAAGGTTGTTCAAGATTTAAGAACTTCAGGTCATCGTACAGGAACATTATCAATTGGTCTTTTCCGGTCTTTTTTACAAGATTATCAAGAAATTAACGAAGCTACAAGATCCTTCTACAAGATAGATATTCTTGATTTAAATCAAATAAGCAACAGTGGTATATACGGTGATAAAGAACAAGAAGCTAAAAATCTCATAACATTGTATGCTAGTAAAGCATTTAAGAATATTTTCAAATTATCAGGGGGAAATGTTGATGGGGTTGCAGCACAAATAAAATTATGTGATTTACAACTTGGTTATGGTACTGGCCATTTACTCTTAAATGCAAAGCAAGATTACATGCTTTTAGATAATACATCGTTGGTTAACTTAATTGTTCATACAATATTAAGTTCGGAAGAGTCTTACAAATACCAAACAACAAGAGATCGTAAGAGAGTCTTCTCAAAGAAAATTAATGAAAAAATTATGTCAAAAATTAATGAAATTGAAGTGGTTTATAAATCCAAATTTTTGAATGTTAATAATTACTTGGAAAGTAAAATTCAAGCAATTCTAAGTTTAATGCTAGATATTCAGAAAACATTAAATAATGACTCAAAATTATCAACAATAAATTCCAAAGAAAATGTTTCAACTGATGATAATCAATTATTAAATGAACCTAAACATCATTTAGATCAATCACCAAAGAAGAGTTCAAATATGGAAAATGTTTCAACTGATGATAATCAATTATTAAATAATCCTAAACATAATTCAGAAAAATCACCAAAGAAGAGTTCAAATAAAGAAAATGTGTCAACTGATGATAATCAATTATTAAATAAACCTAAATCACCAAAGAAGAGTTCAAATAAAACTGGTAAAAGATCTGATCCAAGCTTTGATTCTAGGTCATTATCAAGAACTCAAGATAAAAGTAATGTTATAGGCTGTCGTATTGTTTAAAAACAAAAATGTACCAAAAATTACTTGCAAAACACAGTTATATGAAAATTTACAAAATATTTTAGCTAAAGGTTCACCAGATACTTTTGATTCAACACTTTAAAAAAAGCTCAAAAAGGGAATGGCTTATATATTGCTATAAAGAAATTAAGAGTTGGTGCTAGATTAGTGAAAGCTTTTACAAATGAACAAATGCTTAGAGCTGGATTTTGAATTAATCGATTTATATTTACCAGGAGTTTATAGAATCTTTTAATGAACTTTGTGCTCTTTTATTTGAAGCTTTCAATGAACAGCTCATTAGCGAACATTATCATACGAAAGTCAACCAATAAAAGGTGCAAAAAAAATCTAATCTATTATATTATCTTTTATATTGGAACTTGTAGCATTACAAAACGCGTTCGCGAGGCTGAGCGTTCGTGCGTACTTGAGGATCCTGATTCCTCAATAGTTAGGAAAATTCCGCGATTTCAATTCAAGTGTAGTTACACCGTTACACCGTTACACCAAATTAATTAATTCAGGAATGTTTACAAACATTATTGGTGGACCTTTTGGTAAAATGTAAAAGGATTAATTGATTTTCTTTAAGCTATAGATCAGAAGAAGATACAATTACTGCCCACTACATCTGTTGCTCTTCCATGTTATTGTATTAGGTGGTGCTCTTTTAAGACAAGTTAATTTGGTGCTGATTTGATTTCATCAAGTGAAATTGTGATGAATTTGGTGCTTATGTCAATCCTTTGTGAATTGGTGAATAATTGAATCCATTAACTACATGTGAAAGTGAAGTTTTAGCCAAATTAGATGAATATAAATCAGATGATTTAGCTTGTGAATGCTAAGCATTACAAAGTATGATGCGTGATTGTATCAAATAAATCAAATTTAACAAATTCATCAATTAAATGCTTTTTAAAACACAAGCAAGACTTCATTAGACTCTACAAATTTATCAAATTCTTCATTTCCTTTCGAAAGTGCTGGTGCTCAAATTGAAACATCAACTGTTCAATATATTGTGCCATTTATTGCTGCTTTATTAACCGCTGGTGGTTCTTCTGCTGTGTTTTCAATGTGTTTTTCACCCTAGAGAGATCAAACTTTTTTTCAATTTTGTCATTTAGCTGAAAATTATGATATTGTTATGTTATATCGTGCCTAAGACAAACCAACTTTTAATTCATTTTTATTTTGGCGTACTCTAATAGGTTCTATTCTCTGCAATATTGTTGATGTGATGTTTCAAAGATACACCATTAAATGCAGATGATTAACAAGTTTGGAATGAGTACTAGAGACAATTTTTATTATTGAATTATTATCCACAGAAACAGAAATTTACCAAAAGTCAAATAATTCATTAGATTATCGAAAGATGTTTTAGAAAGACTAATCATTAATACCTAAAACGCTTTATACTGCTTTGAAATCAAAAACATTGCATTTGAAACACCTTTATTCATCATGTTTATCAGATTTAAAATCAAGTGGGCTGTATAAAATGGACATGGTGTAAAATATAGGCACACTTTCCAAACTTGATAGAAAAGAATTTAATGAGTATATCGAATCTTTGAGTCCATCTGAATATAACTTTGATTTGACTATAGAGTCCTTAACATATTTAGGAGCTATTGAGACGTTAATTTATCTGTTTCTTACAAGATACCGTTATGGAGTTGCTTTGAAGTTACTACAAGACTTACTTTCAAATTTAATTAATACAAGAGTTAAGATCAACAACTTTTAAATTAATGAAGAAAGTATAAATGGGTGTCATAGCTTATTTTTGAAATTTTATTCAAAATCTTTGGAATCATCTTCAACTAAAGTTACATTGTTAGGTAATGATAGATCATTTGCAAATCAAATTATGGAGGAAATGAGCTAACAATTAAAGATCAATAAATTAATGAGGAAATATTCAAAAAGATGGAGAGATTTAATGATAAAAATTTTAAAGGCTGGTCTGGTTTACATCATGAATGTTGCTTTTGTTAAAACTATTTGGAGTAAGGGCATTAAATTAGATGCTTATTGTAAATGGGAAGATAAACTACTCATTCACTGAACAAGACCAAAAGAAATAGCTACATCAAATGCGAAACTAAATCCATTGAAGTCTAATCACAACCAAGACCTGTTAAGAAAAGATCTACTTCTTTTGAAAATGAAATTAAAGGTCTTTTAAAACAAGCTAGATTTACTGAAGGTAAAGGTACAGGGGGTAACATTGATTCATATGTTTCATCTTTATTGACTTCAAATCCTTAATAGATCATAATCAGGAAATGGAAGTTCATGAACCACCAATGCTCCATTAGCTGGTGCTACAAGTTTTAATGGGTTGGGATTGAATGAAAATTTAGATAATCATTTAACTGAACACTCATCATTGAACAATTCAAGTACAAAAATTCAAAGAATAATATAATAATGTATTGTTATAAATAAATAATAAGCTATATAGCAGCCATATTCACCAGCTAAATTAATAAATAAGATTTGAATTCCATTTGTTGTCAAAAGCAAATTGGCCAGCTTATATATATAAAATAATTTATATATATATTTATGAAATTATTTTTTTTAT